AGTCTGTGTCGAAATGATTGGAGGCTCAATGGAGTTAGATGTGAATGGTGTGACAAAACTAGCTAACGTTGAAGTCACACCTTGTGTTCAGCACCTTACATGGACTACCCCATTGACGTATCAAGGTACCATATATGCTTTGAAGACTGCACAACACAGAGGACGTTATTACAGAAATACGTTAGTTAAAGTAGATACAAGCGAAAGTATGACCACTGCCACATGGGCCAGTCGATGGCATACGATTAACTGATGAGCGTTGGTTGTCCTTAACCTTAACGAAGATCGACAATTTGATCGATATTCAATGGCCCAACTGCTAGATGATTTGGCTAGGGCTTAGTGACTTTTCGCTGGCCCTACATATTAACTATTTTACAAAATACTCTACAATCCATGGAAATTCATATAAGTTAACGTAAATATGAACATATAATTCCAAATCAGATGTTAAACCACTAATGTCTTTATTTACCGGGAATTTTTCCGACTTATTCTGAACTATCATTTTGTTAAAACACATTATTAGGCTATACGCTAGAGAATAGTACGCACTTTTCTTCCTCAGTGTTGAGATCACCATTTTCGAGAACAGCTCATAACCCTCAGCCACTCGAACGTATCATAATAAAAACCAATGTTTGTCCGACCTTCACAGTTCATAACGAACACTGGTATAGACTGCATATAGACGAATAACTCGGTATTCTTTATATACTAAGCTGATAACTCATCCTTCCGAAACTGATGATACAATAAGTCATGTAGATTGTGTGAATCCGAAATCCACTGATATACAAATTCCTCAGGCTCACTGATCTCCATAATATTGTAGTTGGCGTCGAGTCGCTGTTGATTATGATCACCACCACAGATCGACTACGTGCCAATTACCAGGTTAGACCTATTTTTAGGCCAAATATTAGAAGGCGGTTGAAGACTGTATTTAAGATGTATTCGTTGGTGATCTCGTGGTATCGAAATAATGCCGAAATCGTGCCAAAATCTACAAGCGAGACTTCCGAACGTACAAGAGTTCGTGCAAGGTCACAAACAACGGAAAAGTGTTTTTCTTACACCTAAACAAACAGGTACAGTAAAAAAATCCATGGTACAGTTGGTTATAATAATTGTTTTCGTCATACGAATCGCGTTCTCTTCATTAAAGTAAGTCACTACAATATCAGCCACTGCCTTATATCTTGACAGTATATGACATCATGTGATTCTAGTTATGCGCCAACATATTCTAAGTTTCATGGTAAACTATCACTAATATAGCCAGCAATATGCTCATACTTCTCAAAATATTCTGCCATATCAAAGTCAATCGTATGATTAAATTTTTAGAGTTCAAAGCCTTTACTATTCAACAACGTATCATCATTCATGCAATAAAGGAAGCCCTCGGATTCCTTAGTAAGTGATGCACAGTTGTTTTTTCTCTATTCCAAATCATTACGCAACCATGTCCTTCTTACATCTTAGGTAGATGAATAACCACACTGCATGTGTACACAGATACTTGTGAATTCACAGACGAACAACCTTTTAAGTCACTAGGAAAACAGAAAGCCCTTCCTTTCATAACCATCGGTCAATAATTCGAGTAGTTTACATCATTCCCTGATAGTAATGTCATTTGTTGGTTCGATATCTGACTCCAGTTAAATGCCTATAACCTTCGTATATCCTTAATTGATTTAATTTGAGTTAGAGCCTAACGGAATAAAATAAACCGAATACAAGAATGAATTTTGGTTACGTATATTTAATACACTCATTGGTTCAGACAAACAATCAGAGAAAGGAAACGAAACGAAATGACGCGCATAGGAGAAAGCGTGTGAGCCACCGCGTTTTAATCGAAAGTGACCTAGTATTTATATCCAGACAAAAATAATTTACTGACGGGTGATGAGTTGGGCAAGCAATTAGCACACATGCGATCATATAAAAACAATCGGAGTTAATAAGCGAACAACCAAGAGAGTCAAAACGTCGCTTGGGGCGGGTGAATAAATTGACCTGTCCAGGAGCTAGCATATACTTTGTGGACTTGACAAAGTACCAGCCACCACAGTCACACTTACACTATTTTAGCACGAATTCTCGTGTCGTAAATACAGATGAAGAACTAGTCAGTTTTCCCAAGGTTCTTTACTCGATACATTAACACCGAAATAACCTTATCGATTGTAAACCGAATCTCTTAAACTATTTTTACGTAACCCCAACGTTGTAACAACCTGTAAATAAGGTGATCTGTGTTTATGAATGCATTCTGTAAGAGACTCAAATCAAAGTGACAATATCACCCCTGCTTCAACTTGATCTTTTGGGAAATCACAATTTAACCGGAAATCAATTCTGTAGTTATTTAGCTAAATGTCTAAAGTCACTATTAACAGACAATTCAGGTTCTAATTTCATTTCAGCCACCTAACTATCATCCACCGATCCAAAGTGACCACAAAACATTTCTGATGTTCTCATGTTAAGTATTTTTTATCGTCCATATCCAAGTACCTCGCTGCTCCTCAGTTTCTCTTTTTTCTTTCAGAATCATGTTCTAAGGGCACAGCTATGGAACTCCTGACATCTGGAACAAACTAGACGTACGTGTTTTCCCAAGGTCATAGTTCACCCAAGTGCTCTACAAGTCTACTTTATAACTATAAACTTAAAAAGTTGCATTGCATAAATACTTAGCACGACCAAAATCCTAACACAATAATGCGGGGATTGGATCTCGTGTGTAACGTGGACACGATACCACTTTGAAGAATATTTTGAAGATTACTCAGTATATCTGAAGGAATGAACAAATATTCCTTTTTATAGATTATAATTATTTAACGTGTATACTATGAAACGATAAATGTTGCAATTTACAGACCATGCCTGTAAAAATGGCATGTACCTGCCATTGCAGAAATATATTTTTGTTATGTCTCCGACAAAATACTATTCCAGTATCCGAATTAACGTGCTAACTATGAATCCATGGAATAACTCAACTTATGACTGACAGAACTGGACGAGCACAACTGGAGTTAAAATATTTAGAATCCGTGATAATCGCCCAATCATGTATAAAGGAATCATCAGCTAGTATAAATAACACAGAAGCTCATTAAAATCCTTGTAATCACGATTGTACAATCATTCTGGATCCTGTGCAGCATAGTGCGTTGGAAAACAAGTTCTCTTTTGGGCACTGAAGCCACCCTCTCAGGTCACTAAGACCATTCCAATCCCAATTTCTTTACCAGATACTTCCGGAAGCTTTTAGTCTGGGAAATAAAGATCGATTGTTAGGAGTCCCTCCATAAAGTCGTCAATAATCGATATAAATGCCTTAGTAATCAGATCAGTTTTATACAGCCCTATACTGACGTCGCTGTCTAGTTTTCAAGTGTACAAAATAAGATAATGCACTAAATATGTTTTAAGAGCTAATCGTTATCCAAAAAATTTGTGTATTTCTTGTTGTGTAATATTGCAGACCATACTATTAACATTCAATTTATAGGAATTCCACATTGATTATCTGAATACTAGTTATTAACATCTAAAGAAATCAACTTGAATCCTACTTCTTTTGGTTTTGCCTTGAAACTCAGCGATGACAACAGATAATCTATATCAATAGTTGTTTCCAATTGTACACAAAGAACGGCTAGACATCTACTTATTTGATAATAACCACCATTGAACACAAGTGTTTACTTCATATAAATTGACTAACTGCTAAGTCCGATAAAACAATACTACAATCTATTGGTTGTTGATTCGCCATAGAACCGCGAACTGTCAGTGATAATTAACATGATTGTAATAAACAGTTCTCATTCATTTTCTAGTTTGAAAATCTAGCACTAGAAAACGTAACTTCAAGTGAATTATTCGTTACCAATCAGTGAGTTAATTCCGAAGTATTTAGAAAACCTATGAATTAGCGTTTTTAGAAATTAAATTTTATTCTAGTGAAAATAAGCAATTTTCTATGAAACTCATTAGTGTAATTTTTTCGTCCAGTGAGAATTCGATTTGTTGTGAAGTAGATCGCATAAGAAAAACGGAACTGAAGGTTTTACTATGATTTGTTCAGTAAACAGGGACTCCAAAGGTCCTAAAGGAGCCGAAGATTTTCTACCTAATCAGAATTTGATGGAGGTCTGAATATTAACGTGGCATGCTACGAATGGACAGTAGCATTCTAGTGTGTGCTACTGATGTCGACAGACAGTAGTATGTATAATCAATAGAAAGTAAAATGTTTGGCAACGGAAGGTTAAGAAGAGTGAAGAAAAGAGGACGAGAACAAAGAGTGATTGCAGTAGAAATTGAAGGAAGAGTGCAGTCTGAGACAATTGAATGACATTTTTGTTGATTAAGCACTAACTGTTTGGTTCTCAGATTTTACTAAGAAGTCCTGTAATGCATTCGATTGTCCCCACTTGTGTTCTCCTTCACTACAGCAAACTTACCTCCTTGTGGATTGGCTGAATTATAATGTTATAACCAACGCTAATAACTATAAATACACATGTTTTTTTGTACATTTTTGATTCCTACTCAACAACCACTTTTTCTGTTTCTTAATAATAATAATATCACTAGGAATAATTAGTAGTAGTTGTTGTTGTTGTAACAATACCATCATCAGCTAAAGTGAATAGTTGAATATACAATAAAACAAATTCAATAACTTGAACAAAAAGACAAATATTTATCATTAATAGAAAACAATTATGAAAATTATAAGGATATTGAGAATATTATTGCTTAGGTGTTAAAAGAAAGAAAAAAAGAGTAAATAAATGATAATAATAATAAACCAGTGGAACTAATGACAAATACTAAATCCGATAACAAAACAAGTAAATAACTAAATGCCTTAATTTAAAAATAATGAAATAAGTCATAATTATAGAGATGAAATTGAAGTAAACAAATATAGATCACAAAATAATAAACATGGATAATTCATTAAGTTAACGTCGACCACTGTGTGTTGGTAGAATTACTGGAGGTGGTGAAAATGTTTTTAAAATTGATTCACATTGTATTTTATGCGTATAACTGGAAGATTGATTAGAATTGCATGGAGTACAGTTAGTACAACTAGAATTAGTTGTAACACTGGAGATAATCTTACTGTAGGAATTGATCACATTAGCTGCCATATTCTGATTCAAACAAACTGTACCATCTTGTGATAAGCATGTTTGTGACTTATTGATTGATTCAGATCGTTTCAATGATGCTTTCGAACTAAACATAGAAAGAGGTAAGCTTTGTCGAGACAATTCAAATATGGAAGCATCTGTTATATGTGAGTCTTGTTCTTGTCTTGAATGCATGCCCGATGATGATATGGATAGAAATGATGTAGACGGCTTTTTAGGATATCGGAAATGTTGTAATAATGTTCGGCTTTCAACTGGTGATAGAATACCTTGACCACCTATTTGACATTCATTTTTTACAGAGTCCACTAATTTTAAACATAGAGAAAAGAAAAATCAGAAAGTGCAAAGATTAGTATAACTTAAATTACAGTGCATTATTGAAGGGAATTGGAAATATCAAACGAAGGTATTTAGAACGTTAACTCCGCCTGTAGCTCTTCTAGAGTTACTGCCGGTCCCAAACCCGGGTGAAGGAGGAGGGTTGGGCATGGGGTTAGCGACCCCATCCCGTAGAAAACTAAATCGCTAAAAAAACGCCTACCAGAAAAAATAATTCAAACCATTTTAACTCTGCCCTGAGAGTTAGAAAGTCCTCATTTAGATGAACTACGATGCCTCATGGTGAAAGCCTAGTTCCTTCGGAAGCCACGAGGTCGATGCCCCTTCTAACAACCAGAGCAACAATTTGTATAGGTATATGGAACGTCCGAACAATGTGGGAGACTGGGAAGACCAGTCAAATAGCAACGGAAATGAGGAGATACAATTTGGCAATACTGGCAATCAGCGAAACCCATTGGACCCAAGCTGGACAGAAAAGACTAGCTACGGGAGAGATGCTGCTATACCCCGGTCACGAAGAGGAAAATGCTTCACACACACTCAGGGAGTCGCTCTAATGCTGTACAAAGTAGCAAGAAATGCGCTTGTAGGATGAGAATCTCACGGATCCACAATCATCAGAGCATCATTCAAAACAAAGAAGGAGGGGATCACAATGAATATTATCCAATGTTATGCACCCACCAATGATAGCAATGACGATATTAAAGATCAATTCTACGAGCGGCTGCAGTCAACCATAGAGAAATGGCCAAGAAAGGACCTCACCATTCTGATGGGAGATCTAAATGTCAAAGTCGGAATAGACAACACTGGATATGAAGATATTATGGGACGACATGGATTGGGAGAAAGAAACGAAAATGGAGAAAGATTTACAATTCTATGTGCATTCAACAAATTGGTCATAGGAGGCACAATATTTCCACACAAGCGTATACATATAGTTACATGGATCTCACCGGACCACACCACAGAGAACCAAATAGATCATATTTGCATCAATAAAAATTTCCGAAGGACAATGGAAGATGTGAGAACCAAGAGAGGAGCTGACATAGCTTCAGATCACCACCTAGTTGTGGCTAATTTAAAACTGAAGCTAAAGAAGAACTGGACAACTGGACAATCAGCACTACAACGGTTCAATACTACCTTCCTTCGAGATGCTGACAAAATCAATGAATCCAGCCCCAAAGTGCCCTGGTACGACCGAGAGTGGGGAAAGTCCGCTCTCCCTCTCGAAATGCTCTCACATGGCCATGTGCATATAGCCTCTGCCAGGGAAGTCCTACTCACTGCCTTCTCGTGGCGGGGGTGTTGTTTACGAAAATGAGAGGACGAAAAGCGAATGTCCGGCGCTTTAACCGGATTCCAAACCAATGGTGCACATTGGCTCCAGTATCCTGCGGAAACAAATGGTGTACGAACCAATTGTTGGTCACCGGCTTCCATGGGAGTGCATCTCCTTACGATGCTCCACTGCCTTGTGGATCAGACCTTCAGGTCGAAGGCTCGGGGTGTGGCCCCCTAGGAAAACCACCTGGCTCGGTTTGGGCACTCGGGCAGTATCCCAGCCTTCACACATATCGAATGAGATTTGTACGGCATATATGTATTTGGTGCCTCCGTGTACCAATATCAATGTGTTAAAATAATAATAATAATAAAAATACAATGAATTCAAGATAGCTCTCAACAACAGGTTCTACTGAAAGAAGAAGAAACTACTATGCACGACAACTGGAAGGGTATCAAAGAAGCATTAACTTTAACGTGTCAAGAGGTTCTGGGCCTAAAGAAGCATCATCATCATAAGGAGTGGATCTCTATAGAAACTCTGGACAAGATCAAAGAAAGGAAGAACAAGAAGGCAGCAATTAACAACAGCCGAACACGAGCAGAGAAAGTCCAAGCACAAGCTGAATACATAGAAGCAAACAAACAAGTGAAGAGGAGCATTAGAGCCAACAAGAAGAAGTACGTGGAAGAACTAGCAACGACGGCAGAAAAAGCTGCTAGAGAAGGAAATATGAAACAGCTTCACGATACAACGAAGAAACTAGCAGGGAAATACAGTAAACCAGAGAGACCGGTCAAGGGAAAACAAAGCAAGCCAATCACTGAAATTCAACAACAGCGGAACAGATGGGTAGAATACTTCGAGGAACTCCTGAATAGGCCGGCTCCAATGAATCCACCGGACATCGAAGCAGCACACACAGATCTTCCTATAGATGTCAACCCACCAACGAAGGAAGAAATCAGAATGGCCGTCAGACAAATCAAGAACGGGAAAGCAGCAGGACCCGACAACATACCAGCTGAAGCACTGAAGTCAGACATCGAAGTAACTACAAATATGCTTTACCTTCTATTCAAAAAGATTTGGGAGGAGGAACAAGTGCCGATGGACTGGAAAGAAGGACACCTCGTCAAGATTCCAAAGAAAGGAGATCTGAGCAAATGTGAAAACTACAGAGGCATTACACTACTGTCAATACCAGGGAAAGTCTTCAACAGAGTGTTGCTGAACCGGATGAAGGATGCAGTAGACGCCCAACTTCGAGATCAACAAGCTGGATTCCGTAAGGATCGGTCGTGCACAGACCAAATTGCAACACTACGGATCATCGTCGAACAATCAGTTGAGTGGAACTCATCACTATACATCAACTTCATTGATTATGAAAAGGCATTCGACAGTGTAGATAGGAGGACATTATGGAAACTTCTTCGACACTACGGAGTTCCTGAGAAGATTGTCAACATTATCCGGAACTCATACGACGGACTACAGTGCAAAGTAGTGCATGGAGGACAGCTGACAGATGCATTCCAAGTAAGGACCGGAGTCAGACAAGGCTGTTTACTCTCTCCCTTCCTCTTTCTTCTGGTGGTCGACTGGATTATGAAGACCTCGACATCTGAAGGAAAACACGGAATACAATGGACAGCTCAGAATCAATTAGACGATTTGGACTTCGCAGATGACCTAGCCCTCCTATCACGTACACACGAACAAATGCAGATAAAGACAGCCAGTGTAGCAGCAGTCTCTGCATCAGTAGGCCTCAGCATACACAAAGGGAAAACCAAGGTCCTCAAATTCAACACGGAGAACAGCAATCCAATCACTCTTGATGGCGAAACTCTGGAAGATGTAGAATCCTTCACATACCTAGGAAGCATCATCGATGAACGTGGATGACCCGGAGCAGACGTAAAGGCAAGGATTGGCAAAGCAAGGGTCGCATTCCTACAATTGAAGAAAATATGGAACTCAAAACAACTTTCAACCAATATCAAAGTGAGAATCTTCAATACGAACGTCAAGGCAGTTCTACTGTATGGAGCTGAAACTTGGAGAACTACAACAACCACAATCAAGAAAGTACAAGTATTTATAAATAGCTGTCTTTGCAAGATACTCAACATCCATTGGCCGGATACCATCAGCAACAGCCTTCTGTAGGAGAGAACAAACCAGCTTCCAGCTGAAGAAGAAATTAGGAAAAGACGATGGAAATGGATATGACATACATTACGCAAACGGTCGAACTGAATCACAATACGAGCCCTAACTTGGACTCCTGAAGGGAAGCGGAAGAGAGGAAGGTCAAAGAACACATTACGTCAGGAAATAGAAGCAGATATGAAAAAGATGAATAACAACTGAAAAGGATTGCCCAAGACAGGGTTGGATGGAGAATGCTGGTGAGCGGCCTACGCTCCTTCACGAGGAGTAACAGGCGTAAGTTCACAGTTATATAATATACCCTTGTGGGCCAGGGTAATTTTACATTGGTTTTCAGGAGAACCAGACACCATCCAGACTTTCACGCAGAAACCCAAACAGTACAGCTCAACCCCGTTTAGCAGAGGAACCAGACACCATACAGGCTTTAACGCTACAATCTGAATAGTACAGCTCAATCCTGTGGCGAAACCACACAGGTACCAAGCACCCTGGTGGACCATTCGCACCATTCATATACACACTCACATCACATGTATAGTTATTCCGATCAATGATCGCGTCAATCAATTATGCACAGCACGAACAGGCCAAAGTTGACCTATTCCGCTTACACGACAGTCAAACTCGTTAATATTAGCAATGGTGGCATGCCTTACAATGTCCCAATGACAATGGCCCTCGGGAACATTGAAAAGCAACCACCAGTATGAATGAAATCGGTTAACCAGCAAACCAATTTTTGCATGAACAGTCAGCAAAACTTGCCAAAGCAATGCCGAACCGTCCACAATAACAATGGCGAACCTCCAGTCTTATATGAGACCTTCAGCTCTAAATAGCCATGTAGCTTATATTGCATACAACACATGTATAGGGTAGTAAGCGAAATAGCCCAGCCTGAAGCGTTAGGGCTTAAATAACGCTTAAAACCCACTGTCTGATGTCGGAATGCTATAATTAGACCACCAAGATCATTTTTATCTCATTTGCGAAATTTTCATTTTTCCGACTTTTCAGACCCTGAGTTAGGGGTAGTATCCCTAACAGGCGTAAGTAAATAATTTAAAATGTTAACCATAGAACTGAATAATGTTTTAAGAGATCAAAATTAATATTCATAAACAAATCAGATGGTCGATAAGCGTTTCATCCTATTTGGGACTCGTCGGCTGGATGTACCTGCATCTCAGAGTTGATGTTCACTCTGGAACTCGAACCCAGTACCGTTCACTTCAAACGCCATCGCGTTTTTCACTTAGCTACTGAGTCCTGATAGCCACCTGTTATGCGGTGCAATGCGGTTAAGTTATATTTACTTGGCGTTGTTTATTTGTAATTTCCCATTGTTATTTAGGACTGCGATTGATCAGTCTCTTACTGGCAGATGTGCGGACTGCCTCGATATTGTGAACATCAACTCTGAGATGCAGGTACATCCAGTTGACGAGTCCCAAATACGACAAAAGGCGCTTCCTCTATTTCACTGTTAGCCACTATCGATCTTTGCTTATAAAGCTTGTGACTCCAGGCAATATCGAGGCAGTCCGCACAAGATGTACATATGCCAATAAGAGACTGATCGATTGCAGTCCTAAATAACAATGGGAAGATACAAGTAAACAACACTAAGTGAATACAAAATTAAATGTTTATAACTACAAGGAAAGTTTGTAGTATTTATCCTTCCTCTGACAGATGGATATTGAACACTGTATTCGTTATTAGATACCAGAAGGGGAATCAAATCTTTGGTGATCGGAATTTACGTTTCTTGGTCGATATTTTTCGATTAACGTTAGCTAAAATAAGATGATGTTTTAAAAGAAAGTATAGGACAACGAAAGTATGGTATTAATCTATGTAGCCTGAGATTGTAAACTTTTTCAAATTACAATCAAGCTACGTTAGGTACTAACTCTAAATAATTAGTACTGATATATAGTTAAGCTGGAAATTTAGTTGACTAAATAATACGAAAGTTTAATTTTGATTAAAATCTAAATATGGTTAAATTAAATCCCCGGTTAATCAACAAAAGAAATATTCAATTCCCATTTCATTATTAAACGATAAGCAGAACAGGTGTTTACTGCTTTCAAGGACCACTCATTGCGTATGTATGAAAGCATAGCCTAATTCAACTCACATTAGCCGTGAACAATTTAATATCTAAAGTTTTTAGAAATATCAACCATGTGGAAATTGAACATACGATCTGATAGCATAAGCATGATATGTGAATGATAAAATAGACTTGCGATTTAGTTATTAAAGAAAGTATCTAGAAATAGTTCAATTATTGATTTCATCTATTACACGTGTGTTAAACGTAAACAATATCCAACAAAAAATAAACATTAGCTTACATGTTCGATAACTGGGATGTGTCCATGAACTAGCGCAATATGCTTCAATAACTTGTAAAATTTTTGTATCATCCGCCGTTCGAAGTTCATTTTCATCTAATCATTGAAGGAAAAAACAGGATGACAAACGAAAGGAGTCATAAACTAAATTAATTTATTCATTGATCAGCTTAGCACGATTCACATTTAAATCAAATTAAAGAAAATGAGATACGTACGAGAAGATGAAATGAACAAATAAAGACAAACAACATATTTACCACGAACAAATCAACTAGTGAGTAAGTAGGCAAAGTCAAGCATTTCATTGAAGGGATTAAATACGAAGGGAAATATAATCGGATTTACAAAAAAATCATATATACATATATATCATGAGAAGCTCTATGATAATTAAAGTGTGTAACTGTAGTGAACAAGAACACGAGTTGGGAAAATCGAATGTATTCGAGCACAAAATTACAGAACATCTCACTAAAATCTGAGAACCATACAGTAAATAGCTAATTTACAAAATATCAATCCATTGTCTCAAATGTGACTGTTCATTTTGTAAATATCAGTCAATCGTCTTAGATTTAATTGTTCATGCATTTTTATGCTAATTGCTTTCCGCTCCCGTTCTTTCCTACTGGATTTTGTACTGAAATACATTCTATTCCTAACAATCGTTATATACTACTTATGTGGATATAAGTAGCGTACACCCCATAGCCAACAAACTTATTTGTGATCAGTCTCCCAACATTTTATCGTTAACAAGAATTTTAGCAGTGTATTTATCACTTAATAATTAATAATGAAGTTGGGAGATATAATTCAATTCGAAATAGAAAAAAGAAGAATATTATAAAAGTAATCTATGTGCGTTAGATACGAAAAAAAGTTATCCAAGATACTTATCTAAACGTCTTTGAGGTTGTTGCCATAACAACAAACACAGACAGACAGAAAATCTGATACACTACATTGTACAGAAATGAAAAGATCTATTAAGCTATACTTGATACGTTAAGAAGAAAATCTATCGACCAAATGACAATTATACTAAATCAATTAATGATGAAGCGATAGCGATAAGAAAAACTTTAACCGGATCTAGGTATTCAAAAAGAGACAGTGTTGTATCCGAGTGGAGATTAAATTACAGGTAACTCCCGAGGACTATTAATGGACTAATATTCTATAAATATTCTTATTGTATAATTATTCAACAATTACATTACGTATATTTATATTCCTCTTATTATAAGCTTTATTTTGACCTATAATTTATTGTTATACGATTTACGGTTCTTAATCTATGCTCAGTCTATTATTCACTGTCCCCCTCGTGCACAGCCACTTTTTGGCTTATTTGTGTACACATGTTATTTTCTAATTTATGGTGCGTTGTGGTCTGTCTGGTTGATATATAAACCGAGTATGTTTGAAATAAACGATCTGCTCTGATTCGAAGCTGGTATTGTGTTCTGGACTCAAGTGGAGGGGCTCGGAGGACATAGGACCAGTAAGGACGCTAGACTGCCCGCACCGGTCGAACGTCATTGGTTGGCCTAGTGTAAAGATCCGTATAAGTCGTATCCGGATTGGTCGATAGGTCGCGTGGTAGCAAAACAAGACATCCAAGGTCATAACAGACAGTAATAAACTTATTACCTCTAAAATGATCACACAATTTATCTTAACTGTCTCTAGAATCCACCAACTTGGTTCTAACACCTAGTAACCTCTGACCTGTTCTTGCATGCATATATATATATATATATATATATATATATATATATATATATATATATATATATATATATAGTTATCATTGATAGCATTTGTCATTGCAATCATTCACATTCATTTTTGTCAATTGTTCCATGCTATTTCTTATCTCTATGTAAAATTCCAATGCATATTTGGTTGTAAGCAGCTGATGAGAAACCACGAAATATGATGAATTTATATTATTCTGCATCAATATTTTTTTCTGGCTTTATTTAAATTCATAAAGGGAACTAATTGCATGAAATGATGATTTAGTTATTCTATATACTATACAAGACTCTTTTCAATAGCTTTATGGTAAAAATTAAACTGTGGTCAAATAGCGCTTAGCAAATATTGAGTTCTGATATAATTCATCTTAATTTAAGGAATGAGTAGATATACTTGTAATTTGAATAATGATTAGTCAAATATAACTTAAGGGATCTAATAACGCCTTTAAACAAAACAAACAAAAAAAGTAGTAGTAATCACATTTGAGAAACGTGAATTCACTAACATTGACGAAATAAACCCATTTAATTTAACTTGATACATTTGAAAATATCTTGTCTGACTTCTAAAAAAGGTTGATGATCATAAGCTAGTTTAATTATGACAAATTCATTACAATCATAATTTGAATTTAATTAAAAGAATTGAACTTTGTAAGTGCATGTATAAACAAACTAGTACATACAAGAATAGTTATAGTTAAAAGCCAGTTTGTATTTAATACAGAAATACAACAAAAAAAAAGTAGAAGACAATAAATTGAAACACTTCAATTATAATTATAAAACAATACATGAACATTATAATTTACGGATTTTTCCAGCTGAACGTAATACATCTTCTGCAGTGATAGCACTTTTCTGACGATCTAAATTAAAATTTAACATCACATTACAATTATATATATATAATGTAACAAGGTATTTTTAGTCAATGAGTAAACGAAACTTATCTTGTTTGCTTGATGATCATTAACCATGTGGTTCAAAAAGAACATTTCATTTCATTTCCGACTCAGAATGAATAAGTCTAATACGTGCAACTCATAGAGTAATGAACATCTATTGTTAAAGAGATGGCTAACACGGACCATTGAAGTTTAACACAATGGATACCTTAGTCGATTCATATATAGTTAGTGGTTAAACCAATAATCATAAATGAATCACATGTTCAAACCCTACTCCTTTAATGTCAGTTTGAGGAGTTAAGTAGTATTACAGGACCACACAAAAACATTTTAACTCGGAATCAAGTAAAAAATTTGTAGCGGTTACATTATTAATTGATTTTTTTAAGGAGAAAGTAGGTAAGAGAAGGAAATGCACCGAATGGTTTGAAGCGGTAACATTTTTACATCATATTTCTAATGACCGTGTCCTATACATATATGCAGTAGATTGATAGTTATTACTTCACATATACATGAAAAATGTAAAACTAGAGGTATGAAAAAGTGGTACACAAGTAGAATATTATTATTATCTCGAGAACATAGCATATGAATCCAAACAAAACATATCAGAAACAGAAAGCTAATCAGAAGTAGCATGATGAGAAGATCAATCAATGGCAATCAGAAGTGACCTAAAAGTCAGGTTTATTTCATTGGCTAACGAGTAGATGAATTTCCTAAGGATTAGAGTGGTGTTTATATGAGTATTTATGCATTTTATTCGATCATCGAAAACACTTTCTCGTTCAAGTAGTCATTTCGGGGATTAGCGTGTAGTATACCATGTACCAGTATAAGTTTTCGGACACCGCTCATCACAACGACATCTTTTTAAAAATTTTCTCAGAGGAAATGACTAGTTACGTATGCACTTGTCACCAATGAATGGAGAAATAAACTAAATGGGAAATTGAGGCAAACTCGTACATTAAAAGTATGAAGTAAAGAATAACTTACTATTACATAAGAATTGTACAGTTCCTAAAGGGAATATATGTATATATCCATTTTCATTCGTAAGTTATTGAAAATAAGAGACGAAAGCTTAATTTTATGCATAATAAGCTAATTAATTTGATGTCGTGTTGTAGATTACAACAGTTAATTGCGGTAGCACATTATTTTTTTCTAATTCACCCTTAGCGAGTCAGTAAGCATCTCTTATAGTGCTTCAAAACAAGTCAACATACAGTCAATACGTTGCCGTATTTTGGCGCATTTGATCAACAGTGGTCATGCTGCAGATAGAACTAAAGCATTTAGGCTTATTTATGATATTTTGTTCCATATTTCTAGAGTAGTTTTCACCTATATTCCATAAAAATTGATAAATACAAGGATATGAGAAAAGTCTTAATCTTTGTATTCATGAAACGTATAGTATCTTCACCCCTTATGTAATTAAAGAAAATTTAATAGATGATCCAACCAACTGTTTACCCATTTAATCAACCTCTTTCCGTGTCTCTACAATAATTTCGGTTTTAAATATTGTTAACGAAATAGTGGATTTGCAACTCACGTGAATGATTTAGGTGGAATTTTGTTTTCTGAGATGGATGAAGAACAATGAAAGCTTCAAGAACAAATCATCCAGCTCAGAGAACAAAACTCCACCTGAAACACCGCTTATTCATATACAATATATCATTTAGTAGTTTCTCTCTCATAACATATTTGTTTTGTTTATCATGATGAACTTGTATATGTTATTACTTTCTGCATACTGCACACTAAGTTAAAAAATGAGAGGGATCAACGGGGACGCATTATCATTTTTTTATACATCACGTATATTTTAGAATTGATTATATTTAGTAGTTTAAAAAAACAAATTCACTGTGTCATACATCTCTATATAGGATGCATAAAATATAATAGAAAAAAGTTAGTAAGTTCGAAGTTGCTTAAGCACAACGTACTCCCATAATGTGAACCCTATCAGCCTAGTCAAAAATTGTTTAAATTCTCCACAAACAAGATGAAAAGAGAGGCCAGATGCCCAGTAAGTAACGCTCAAAGTTAATTTGTGATAACTTTTAAAATCCTAAAATCCCGATTCATATGGCACACAAAACAGCTAATGATAAACAGGCTTAATAAGACTATGAATATTACTGAATATTTATTGGTTCAGTTAAAACTCATACTATTATGTATTATTTTCACGTCAAAAAGTTTAGTTTACTCTATGAGTAGACAGTATAAAAAACCATATGGTTAGTGAAGTAAATATTCAGTTATAAAGTATATGTGCTAGCATAATATGAACAATAAGATTTATGGATCAAAGATAAATGACAGTAAACAAATAAGCTTATAAAAAAGCAATTGATTGACATACCACCACGTTTACGACGTGATTCCTTACTTGAATCGGTAACCTTAGGACTTTGAGCTCTCACACGGTTGTGTTGATTTTTGTGCGAAATAGAAAAATCTAGCAACAGACCAGGAATATTCTGATCAATAAGCAATCCCAAATTATTTAATGCATTAACTGAACCGATTCTATCGCTCTATTAAAATCTAATGGACCATCGACACGAAGACAAGGAATTACGTGAATTAAGTCATTATCAGATGATAATTGTTCATTATTTTTATAAGGAATGACACCAGGCAAATCAATCGATGTTGAATATGACTGTCGTGTACCAACTATCGCTTTATCAATATCTAAACGGAAAAATATATATTCATATGAATAATAAGTTTAGTGCTAATTATTTATTGTCACTGAAACTGTATTAATACAGAAGAAATTTTCCTTACAGAAAAGACACCATACAAATATAAAACTGAATTAAAAATAAAACAAACTTAGTTAAATTTGGTTATGTCCAATTTGGTGATGAATACTTATTGTAGAAACTATGTAAACACATGTCACTCAACTAAAGAGGTCAGTCAGCTACAACGTAGGACCAGGCACATATATGCATCGGTCCAAGTTGCCATACCTCATTAACACAACAAGATGGACACCGGATCCATAGGAGTGGTTAGGTCAAAGGTGGTAATATATAGGAGAAAGATTGCAATAAGGATATAGTATAGGAAGAAAGAATTAGTTCGTAGAAAGAAAGATGTGAAGTGATCTTAATCTCTTAGTTTAAGAGAAGACAGAGAGTGTATACAAAGACGCCATTGTGATTGATTCTGAGCCATGTCACCTAGAGTCTCCAACCATTGGTTACGATAGTCACGCGGACCCCAGCCAAGTAGTCTGCATCTACCAACATGGCTCAGACTAGAAGTTAGTGACTTCAAGCACTGATGCCACGTTTTGGTTTGGCCGCCTCTAAATTTCTTCCAACCATCCCCAACACCGGTTAACATTGCACGTCGTGGTAATCGGTGTTCAGGCATACGTAACACGTGGCCCAACCATCTCAGTCGATGAAGATTCACAACCACATCGACTGATTTACCATCATTCCCTAATACCCTGCGTCTAACCTCATTATTACTTACCCGGTGATCCCAGCAGACGCCAGCAATATTTCTAAGGCATCTGTGGTCAAATACTAATAGCCTATGAGTGTCTTCTACTCTTGATGGCCATGTTTCGCCACCGTAAATTAAAACAGAACGGACTGCCGCGCAGTATACTAGTCCATTTATTGATAGACGGATATCTCTTCGTCGCCACAGGTGACGTAAGTTGGCAAAAGCCAAACGAGCTTTTCGAATCCGTTTTGAGATTTCATCAGACATCAACCCATTAGGGCTGATCAGACTTCCAAGATAAGTAAAGTTGTCAACGCGTTCGACTATTTCACTCCCCATCCTTAGTTCAGGTGTTGACGCAGACCAGTCCTGAAGCAACAACTTGCATTTAGAGGGAGAGAAGCGCATTCCAAACATTCTGGCATTGTTTCTCAGTGCAACTAAAGAGGACTCTGTATTTAAATTCATCTACAAGGTAAATAAAAGCTTATCAAAGCCATTTATATTCCATTTTCTTAACGTTGACGAATCAATAGCTATACATCTACAAGAACCAAAATTGTGTCCAAAATAAAATGGTACAACCTCTTCGAAACAGTAGATTCTGAATGCAAAGAACTTACTAAACCAGAGAACATGGGCATTAGTAGTAATTCTATGCGGTAAAAAACGTAAGCCTGAAGATGATGTTAATACATCTGAAGTTAGAACCATTGTGCAGGTGTTATCCACTGGTGTGAAGATTTGTTTTGACTGAGGGTCAATAACGGATGATTGATGATGCTGACTTTCATTGTTTAGTTCTTCAGCACATATATTCGATGGTTCAGTTAATGGTCTAGGAGCTTTACTTTTTTTTAATGATGAAGAGAAGCGACGTTTATTATCGTCATTATTGTTAGTCGAATCGCTGATGAAATTATAATTATCTGTGATTTTTACAACATTATCATTATTGACAAAGGATATTTTAGAAATATCTTTTGTGTAAGTGTGTTGAACAGCCAAATTGTCAGTGGAGTCAGGAGGAAACTTGAAACCTTGAGGATCTTTCATTGACAATGTCGACATCACCAGTGTTGATTGATGCTGATCAATCTGATTATTTTCATCTCTTGTTACTTTTGATGATGATTTTAATTTTTCATTCTAGAAAGCAGGTAAAACATTCGTTAGAAGGATAGGAAATACTAAAGAGATCTGATTCACTGCCCAAAGTTAACATAAAAATAAGACTCAATAACTTTCACTGAAGTCCCATTCTTCGCCCTGATTAATTTAATAGTGAAGCTTTCAATATTTTTCTGAAAAACATTATCAACATAAACTTCAGGTGGAAAATGACAGAAAAAGCGCCAACAATAACCAATCAAGTTTGAGATCGACAGGACAAGCTATCAGTCATATATGGAGAAATTCAAGTAAACCACTTTTAACTGAAGTCGGTGCTGATAGCGTTGATCAGGATAATCAAAGCTTCAATATTAAATCATCCGGCACAGAAGATAAGACTCCACTAAAATCATTCATTTATGAAAAATACAATGAGAAACAACTTCAATTTTAGGAAAAATATACTGGGATAATAACACTGAACTAACAGAAAAAATTCTCATCTTCAAACATTAGGATATAACTACTGATGTATTAGAACCACGGTTACTGTGATTATCCGGTAGACACGTTGTTAATCTAACTTTTTGTCATGTTTGTCGTTCTTGAGTACCGCATATTTCTGGATATCAGAGACTTTGACAATTCCTGTTATTCGGATGAAATCTGCTCTATCTTTAGAAAAATCAAACATCAAAGTTAAATAAAATCAAGTCATCTGCCACCTACCTAGAGATCTTTAAGGCTAGTAAACGAATTGTAAAAATATATAACCTAATTGAAACCTTATTTATTTCACTCTGAGCTTCCGTTCAACGATAGGATTTACTGTATACACAGTTATACACAAAGTTTTTAAAGTTCAACAATTTTGCCGAATCTAACACTCTAGCCATTCTCCTGTCTACTAGGTGAGTGATTTCTGAATATCGGTGTATTTTCGCTAGAGTTTACATTCTGAACAGTTGGAGTTGCACTCATCTGTCTACTATGAAAATGTCAGTGCAGTACAGCTCATTGAAAACCAACTTGGGAAACTATTGAATCACAGATTTCGCATTTTTGCACAGTATTACTCGGATAAGAATCTACTCTAATAGATGGTTATTTATGATCGAAATAGTCCACTTTAAATGTAATTGATTCAATAATCGAATAATGCAAAGTTGGTCAAGTAACGATCTATGATGGAGACTTCGCTGAGGAATTACCCAATTACCAATTACAAATTAGTGGAGTCAGTTTCGAAGCACACAATTTGTGGGTGTCCTAGTGACACTATCACCACTGTTAACCCACCGCCTTTTAAAAGTTGAAACAATCTACGGTTTTTCGGAAAATGCTTCCATTATCACCCGTTCAACCAATTTCTTAAAGATCTCAACACAAAAAAATGATAATAGTAAAATTTTTACATCTAGTGTGTCCTTTCGTAAAGGTAAAGAACTTAGAGATGTATTTCCATGTTTGTCCAAACTACTCGAATCAGGTTGACTGAAGAAGTCCAAAGAAATACTCTCATTTTTTGTATGACATTGATCAATATCTGGTGACTGTTGTTCATTCTGGGTCTGATATTGTATTAGGTCAGTTAATGTAGATACCAAAAGATCTCTAGCATTTTGATCTGTACATGAAAGTGTTATTTGACAAGGAATAACATCCATATTCATGGAATTAAGATCTAAATGAGAGACAAACAAACCAGGGGAAATATGGAGAAAGTACATACATGAGAAATTTACTGTAAGAAGAAAGATATTTTTGTAAACTTTCAATCAGAAGCTCTGTACACGAATATCCTAACGGTTAATTAAACCAATGTAGTAATACTTAGTATGCAACTGATAAAACGAAAAAAAAATGAAATGAGAATAATGATAATATCAACGGTAGTGGGAAAAACTAAATATTGATGAGTAAATTTCGAAAAGAAGGGATAAATTCGGGGAATAAAAAGTACGAACTAATTTTGGAGCTCTGCAGTTACGGACATGTAAAGCGTAAATGCACCTACACCGTCGTCACTGACTCCGATCCATGTTATCCGACGTTTCCAAACACTGATTACGATTATTGTGTGGACTTCAGGCAGATAGTCTGTGCCTACTAACACGCCTCAGTCCAATAGTTAAGGACTAGTGTCACATCCTGGTTTGGCCGCGGTACAAAATAGTTTATGTGCATTAAACACGCCTCTTCGCTGACACGAGAACCTTGTCTATATCAACGTAATAGGGCTTCCAAGATAACCAACGGTGTCCATGCACTCAAATAATTCACTCGCTATAACCAATTTAGGGGGTCATGCAAGCTAGTCGTGAGACAGTATTTTGTATCTAGAGAAAGAGAAATGTATACCAAACATCCTCGAGTTGTGTTCGGAAGACTTTGGACGTATCAGGGTTTTCACCTAACAGAACTACATCATCTCCATATTTCAAGTCCGTAAGTGATTCTCCTGGTAAGAGGTCAATCCTTGAAAAGCCAGAAAAGAAAAGAGATTTGACCAAATGAATGTTCATGACAAAGTTAAATGAAACTATAGGGAGTGGCAGATCATAGCGAACACCACGTAACGTTACCAAATTTAACGACAGTTCGTCATAAGCTCTGAATTGATGAATAATCACATGAGATCATATCCAACTGCACCACTAGTTTCAGGTTTCTAACAAACGTCTGACATGTATATACAGCAGACCCCATACTATGATTCGCTACCTCAAGATGCATACACACTACATAGACAATGTCTCTCCATGACTAAAGTTGGTGCTCTGCAAAGATTAAGCGGTCGTATCGGGATAGTCGCAATAGACGATCACCGTCATGTGTTCACTGGTATAGGACGTCAAAACTCAACTTGAATTAGCAAACAGACTTAGGTATTTACATTACCTGCTACAATAACCACGTTTCTGAGCCCCGGGGATTCTGAAGGATCGGAAAGCTTTCTATAGAACTCAGCCTTGGTGCAGACATTGGAGGGTGTTAGTAGAAACGATGAAGAGGCAACAGTGTGTATCCGCGTCTTTCTGAGTTCTTATTTAACCATCTAAAGGGACAGCATGTAAACGACAGTCAACAGGAATCCAGTCAGAGAGTACCGACCCTGTCATTGGACACCGGTAAGACCACGAGAAGGGACGGTTGTCACTTTTCCATTGCCCACACCGTAGAACGATAATTCTTCCTGACAGACGTGGAAATGGAACTGGACTAGTATTGGCTTTGTCATAACCGAGACCGCTAGGAACCGACAGCTCGAGGTCGGTCACATACGACATTTTAGTGAGTAATTTTAAAGCCCATGTAACAAAGCCTTACAGCCGGTGGCAGAAATTTCTGGGTCAAGTCAAGGCGTCCTACTTTAAAAAGTTAGACTTTTCTAACCCACACTTCTGAGAGAAAGTAGTATTGCTGCTAATGCTGGTCATCTGAAGCAAACGCCTTGACGCAATCACATCGTACACTTGACAGTACCTTGACATGGAGTTGACTAATAGACTAACGTTTTGAAGATTAAGGAAATTACGAGAACTATTACTACAAATCATAAGGATGGAAGCCACTTGTCTCTATTGAATTTATTCTTTCAAAATATGACTCCTTACAAGAGCAGTCAGTAAGCAACGTAGAACTTCGTACATACGTACATCAGTTCAAGTTGCCATACCACATTACCACACAGATACAATTGTCGATTCAAATCCCATAGTGGTAGAGATAGTAAAGTATAAGAAGTAATCGGAAACATTAGGGTTTGAAGATGTTATTCAAGGAGTATAATCCAGTGAAGTAAATTTGGGAAGAGGAAAACGAAAGGGACATGAAGAATTCAGAAGATTAGAATTAGGGAGAACACAAAGAGTGGATGCACTTGCGCTATTCCAAACGATTTTGAGCCATGTCATTCAGGGTCTCTGTTGCGGATACAGAATTATATGCCAATCATTGTCATGTTAAGTCTATGGTGGCCTTGGACTTTAAATGTACATTCCCTATTGGCTATTATTTAATTCATTCGTTACATATTGTGTAAATGTTGTTTACTATTTTTATGGTACGATGTGGTTTGCTTGTTTGGTATATAAATAGAGCATGTCTGAAATACAATGATTCATCTCCGAGGCTGTGACATGTGTTCTGGACTCAACTGACTGGGCTAGACAGGGGAGTGAGACCAATCGAGACTCTAGGCCGTCCGTACGTGTTTATGTGTCATTGAATCGATTGATAAGTACGCTGCTCTCTAATTTTCCAGTCAAGGACACAACAATTAGCACAGGGTAAAAGTCGGTCGCAACCTACAGTCATAACAGTCTCTAACCATCAGTTTCTATCGTTTCGTGGACCCCAACCAGGTAGTCAACATTTACCAACGTGCCTCAGTCCACTTGTCAGTGACTTCATATATTTGTGCCATGTTTTGATCCGGTCACCTCTAGCTTTCTTCCAACTTACTCCTACACCATAAAACATCGCTCGTCGGGGCAGTCGGTGGTTGGGCATACGTAACACATATCTCAGCCATCTCAACTGATGCAGTTTTACTACTTCATCAATTGATTTGCCATCCCCACCTAGTACCTGTTTCCTAATAACTGCATTACTTACTCGGTGGTTCCAGGATATACGAGCAATGCTTCGAAGACACCTATGATCGAATACTAGTAACTTACGAATATCCTCTACTCTTATCGGCCATGTTTCACTACCACAAAGTAGGACGGAACAAGCTGCTGCGCAGTAAACCAGTTCTTTGGTTGGTAGACGGATATCTCGCCTACGCCATAAATGACGCAAGTTGGCAAAAGCTTGTCGAACCTTCTGTACCCTTGCTGAGATTTCATTGCACACCAGACCACAAAGGCTGGTGAGACTCCCAAGATAAGTGAAGCGGTCGACACGCTCAACTACTTCACTCCCTATCATTAGTTCGGGTGTCAATGCAACCCAATCCTGAAACAACATTTTGCATCTCGAGGGGGAGAATCGCATCCCGAACATCCTTTCATTGTTACTTACGGTGGTTAGAAGACTCTGCATTTTGTCAGCGTCCTCACCAAATATAACTACGTCATCCGCATGTTCTAAGTCAACAAGTGAATCTCCTGTTAGAAGTTCAACCCCTGGAAATCTAGACGAGGAAAGTGTTATCTCTAAAAGCACGTCAACTACAAAGTTAAACAAGAGCAGTGTTTTGGTAGACTAGTAAGCTCAGCTTACAAAAGAAAGTGTGATTCATTGCCGGATACATCTACTTAATTACTGGACTGGTTTAAAAATATAATTTTCGTTACGAAATATACAGTGAGAATATTTACACAGTAAATTATCTATTTACCTTTAATCAATAAATCTAAATCTGCTTCACTTTCGGTTGATCTAATCACAGCCAAATTGTTCAATGGTATTTTGACCTGTTTTCAACAAATCATCAACAAAATTTGTATGAAATGTACTGCTCAATAAAAATTCTAATGAGCATTACAAAAAACAGGACTAAACGAATGAAACGATAACCCAAAATTACTCATTTTATCAATAAGGAAAAGGAGTAATCAATGTTTTTCATGGTGATCTAGCTTCATTTAACTTATGAATCCAATTATAAATTTACTAGAATCTCCACAAAAATCCTTCCGATAATTTTGAATACGTAAATTTTGTACACTCGTTTATCCGAACGACTATTCAGAATAAAAGGCAATAAAGCGAAGGCGAATGAGCCAACTCGACTTGATGAAGCATGACTCAAAATTAATAGTCAGATAAAAATAAGCTACAAACATGCCATGAATGACGTAAGAAATACACACAGATGCTCATATAGAAACAGAAATTATTAATAAGAGAATAATTAAAGAGGTTAAAACGTGACTCAAGAAGAATGAATAAATTGGTCTATTCGGAAGCTAGAATAATCTATATAAGCTTGACATAGCATCAGACACTACAGGCCGATCGATGCGTATTTTACTCAAAAGAATTCGAGAACATTATCCGACATGGCTCAAAAGAGGCGGAAATGGCTCAATAAGAAGCTCGATAATCGAACGCAGGTCACTCAATCAGAGTGGACTCTGAATTCAAATTCATCTACAAGGTAAATAGAAGGTTATCAAAGCCATTTATATTCCATTTTCTTAACGTTGGCGAATCAATAGCTATACATCTACAAAAACCAAAATTGTGTCCAAAACAAACTGGTACAACCTCTTCTTCTACCATGATCTTAATATCTCGGAATTTTCATTCTTCTTCATGCTTTTCTTCATTCATAACCACCTGCTTCCCTTCCATATTCTCCATATAATTTTGATCCCTAAACGGTATTTTTCTGTTTCTATGATCCGCCTGATTGCAGTTCCTTCCAATTTTGACATTTCATCTTATAATACTGAGTCTCTCATTCCCAGTTATAATTCCCCTATATTCATGATGAATATACAAGTCCTAAACAACAAAGTTATTATTAGTTTTCCTGATGAAAATAATCTTTAATGCTTTTTTATCCCACCTCACTGTTACCATGTTTAACAGAATTTTATTATCACTACTATTGTAATTATTATCATTATGAAAAATAAGTATATATTTGCGAATGTACATTTTGGAAATGAATTCGCCGAAAAGAGGACTTTTATGTCTAATAACACAATACAGTAATCCACTTATTCAAGGCTGACAAGTCTTTCATTAATTAATATATATTTACCACAAACACGTATTGATGTTGCCTCAAAAATGTTGCACACGGTAAGATACAGGAAGAAGAGTATGATTAGAAAATCATTTTTAAACCCACTGTAAGAATGAAGAGTAGTGGAACATTGTTACTCCGTGCAAAAGGATTGGTAAGAAAAGTGCATTTCGCTGATCACCTGTATGGAATCAGGGTTTCCCAACTTCCATAAGTGGCCCTTCAGTACCAAATGACATGGTTTGAACACTAGATATCCACTCTTACCTTATCACAGTACATATAGCCAAGTATGGCTATGCTATAACAACTTATATATAATTCAGTGCAAAGCATCAACAGCCTAAATAATTCAGACTTTACTGAAACTGTGGGAGAAGGGGGTCGAAAAACAATTGTGTAACTGAACCTCATAAAAAGTACTGCAGTATACTGATTCTTCTATTTGGCTACCAACATCAAATTAAGTGGATCAAGGTTTAACCTTGTGAACCGAAATTAACCATAATACTCACGTAAATATGAATGTGTTATTAGCAGCAAGTAACATTAGGATTAACATCTAATGACCAACAAAAGCATCGGTTTTAAATATAGGTTTTCATGTTTTATAGAGGAGACGTCTTGCTTGAAATTGTGTTAATTTTAGTGGTATTTTAGTTACTACATTATTACTATCATTTTATTCACAGCTGTCATCAACTACTACATATTAAAACAGTCGTACCAATTTTAACAACTTAATCGATAAAGTTTCAATTGCATATTACGTACTCCATAGTAGCGAGTCAGTAAAGGATGTATCGCTCGTAGAGAAACTCAAAGTTCAGGGCAGAATAGAACAGCTACTGAATCCTCCTCAATTTTTAAGAGTTCTCTAAATGATTTCAGTTTATTATGAGTCCCAAATAGGACGAAACACGCGTTTTCCATCCCACTGCAGGCCACTATCCACCTTTGCTTATACAGCTTGTGGATTAAGGCAATACGCACAGGATGTACATATGCTAATAAGAGACTGATCAATTGCAGTCTTAAACTTCAATGAGAAGATTCAAGCAAACAACACCTAGTGTATTAAAATTCAAATTAAGTAAAAATCGGGACTCAGTAGCTAAGTGGATAACGCGATGGCGTTTGAGACGAATGGTACTGGTTTCGAGTTCCAGAGTGAACATCAACTCTGAGATGTAGGTACATCCAGCTGATGAGTCCCAAATAGGACGAAACGCGCGTCTTCCATCCCACTGCTAGCCACTATCCATAGATAGATTTGAAATACGGAAAAAAGGAGACTGATTTTACTGCGATAAATGAATATAAAAATGGAAATTATAAATTCAACCTCGTCGTTGAATTCATTGACCACGTAGATAGATATACGTCGGTTTATTAGTATGTCATGAAATTTCGGGTTCTCATTTGATTTAATTATTACCTTTACATGTACAACGTAGAAAATTTCAGATAGTGTATTTCATTAAAATTTTAAGTTACCAAGTGTCCATTCGTCAAAGTAAATTTTTGGAAGTAAAAATATCCAAGCTATTTTCTGGAATTCCATCAGTAATAGTATTAGTAGAGAAAAAGACACTGGGGAAAGAATATGTTTGTTTAGTGAAATTACGAAAGGCTTACAGAACATATACACCTATTATTCAGTGATCCATTTGCGCAGGCCAAGGAGTGGGGAGAGTCCACTCTCCCTCTCGAAATGCTCTCACATGGCCACGCGTATATAGCCTCTGCCAGGGAAGTCCTATTCACTGCCTTCTCGTGACGGGGTGTTGTCTGCGAAAATGAGAGGCCGAAGAGCGAATATCCGGCGCTTAAACCGGGTTGGTGGACATTGAGAGTTCACCTAGGGGAGTTGGAAAACCCTGACTCCAAACCAATGGTACACATGGGCTCCACGATCCTAAAGGAACAAATGGCGTATGAACCAATTGTTGGTCACCGGCTACTATGGGACTGCATCTCCTTACGATGCTCCACTACCTTGTGGATCAGACCTTCAGGTCGAAGGCTCCTAATGTGGCCTTCTAAGAAAACTAAATACTTCGGTTTGGACAACCGGGCAGTATCACCGCCCTCACACATATCAAATGAGACTTGTGTGGCGCATATGTATTCGGTGCCTTCTTGTACCAATATCTGTGTGTTAAAATAATAAAATTGCGTCCGGTTAGATATTCTCTGATTCAAGTTCATCCTAGCCTGTCTTCAGACTCTTCACTTCTGGTCTCGAAAGTATTCTGCTTACTCCATGGTTTGTGACCCCTTGGAACTCTTCACTTTGACTGAATCAACTTCCATGCGACCAATAAGTAATCTTATAAGTAGCATTCACCACAGCAGTAGTAGTAGTAGTATCTGTTATTTATGATTTAGCTATTGCTTAGCCGTAAACCTATGAGTATTTCCTGAATAAATATTGATCTATTTATATATTGAATTAATAAATTACTGGTAATTCTAAGTTTTATAAAATGAAGCAATAAAATTAAAAAACAGACACAGAGGTGAATTTCACTTACAGTATAATCGTAAACATTAGTTTGGTTTGTTCTAGCCAACAGGAGCACACAGGTAGGAAAAATAACCAATAATGATAATTGTGTTTTTCTTGTTAATATATCATTCATATGGATGAAATCCGGTAGGCTTATCGTTGATTGGTTTACTTGTATGTTGACTAGGAGAACACGTAGAGTGAGAATTGGGTCACCAAGTTGTTGTATAGGCTAATTGTAGTACAAAACAAGAAAATCGGCAGTATTAACATTAATAGAAATACTATATATGGGAGGAAAGATTTAGAAATTATAAATAACAAATATTTCATCTCCTATGATTTACTCTCCAGGTTCAATCAGCTCTTATTTAGGTTTTAGCATAATCTATTGAAAAGTCGCAAAACAAAATCATAGCTTCCATTATATCAATTAATATAGTCATGAAGTACTTGCGGCACCATAACGGCGTCGAGAACACAAGAACAGCATGCATCAGCGAATACTGATTACCTCTACTATGCTAAATGAAAATGTTGTCTACTTTATTTATACATAATTTCGAAAAGGATTCAACATTCAAAGGCGTTTTCAATATGTACAACAATATTTTGTACAGAACTTGAATACTCAACTAAGACTATATGTTTCTATACAGAGTGATCTCATCAGACTTCGAACTTATGGATATTCCAATCTCTAGTGCCTTTATCAAAATAATAATTACTGGCGTAAGAACGTGATCCCCTGAACTTTGCATTTATCCAAGATTTTGAATGAAATGTAAACATTATATATATATATATATATATATATATATATATATATATATATATATATATATATATTGTGGCTCATAATTCTTAAATTCTTAAGACTCAGGAAACCGTTTATTAAATTTGTTGAATAAATGGTCAGAGAGCAGCTAGGAGACCTAGAAAGATTATTTGACTGACGTAAGTTGGTGTGTTTTATTATCTTGTTTGTTCAGGAGGCCAGTCTTCGTATTTTGAAAATGGTCATAGTGATCTCAGTCGTCTTCACTTGTCGTGAATCCTCGACAATACTCACTTGACTTCTGTTATTCTTTAAGTGTTCAACTAATAATCAAGAACTGTCTGAGATTGTCATCTACGTTTGATGGGTGGAAGCTGTTGAAATAACAGAAGTATGTCCGAAATTGCATTACCTTTAATGTCAAGTACATCTAATTCAAAATATCGTAAAAAAGGTATAGATCAATTTATGCTCAACTGTAACTAAATCATAGAAGCTGAGTTCAGAAAATATTATCCTTAATAAATAATAAATAATTTATGGACGACTGTTGAGTAACCCTGATAATGTCCGCCTACTTTACTAGGGCTAAATGAGGATTATAAACCAGCATGAAGAATTAGGATTATGATTTACTGATGACAGTTATTGTTGAGGACTATACTTAGGGTTTTCATCACGAACTGACACCAGCTAAAATGCTGAAACGCTATTTAGACAAATGGGTGAAAGAATTTCGTGCCAAAATCCAAAACCTGTTGTCCCAAATCTGATTGTTTCGTCTAAAGATGTTAATTTTGACATCCAAACAAAACAGTTTATGGATTTCAACTAATCAGGTTGCAGCAATGCAGTATTTACAGCCAATTAATGAATCCCTATAGCAAACAAAAGGTAAGATCCAAATTTTGAAGGCATACATTTTTGGAACACAAGTTAACTGAGCATTGATTCTTAAATATTTATAAAATCATACCACTTGATTTTAATCAATAGGGATCAGTAATATCAACCACAGTGAAAATAACATCACCTACTAAACATTTTACTGGCTATTTAGATAGAAACGAGTAAATTATTTAAATGAGTATTTTATTCGAAAACTATAAAGCTTTCCTTTGACTAAATTGAAAATACAATTACAGTTGAAATCGCTGTATTTGGTATACAAGAATATTAATAGAAATCGATCATTCCAAACTAATTAACTTGTCTTCGGAGATAAATGATAAACACAATAATGATGATTTATATTCGCACTGCCTCACACTAAGAAGAACGGAAACAGTATCCATCAGGATTACCAGTTGCCGAAGGGGTTTTAGCTTCAAATCAATTGTGCAAGAAGCCAATTCAGCCAGCATTGTCGTGCAAAGATATAAACAATACTATATGGGGTTGGTCAACAAACACTATTGTAAAAGTTATTAAATCATTTTGTAATATGATCCTTTGTTTTTCTCAAGAAATTCAATGAGTGAATGTTGACTGCCAACTTAAGCATTAAAGATTCCTGTTTGTTGTATATAATTCCGTCCCTTGTTACACTTAACTTTTAAAAAAAGTGAAAACGTTTCAGCGAAGAGGATTTTCTTTTTGATCTCCACGACCAAACCATTCAGATCGGAGAACAAAACTCCATCAAAATCATCCACATGAGCCACAAACCTCCACCATCTTAAGATGACAGTAATTGGTTAATTGCTTAGTCAGACTTGTAGACAGTCTGACAGGAATTAGATGAGTTATATATTCTCCTATCCTTATTATTATTGTGATTGTTGTTGGATTTTGTGGGATTGTTGCCGGTTTTTGGTGTGGAAATATAGTTACGTTCTAGTCAGGCTAATTACGTGTTTTTGATCTGAGTTGTGTTGAAGTCCTGTAGAATAGACTCTGGGAGGTTATCTAGTGTACATATTCATCTGAGGCAAATTAACGTCCCATTTGTAAAGACGAAATCCGAGCGTTATAACGTGTATATATATAGAGTAATGTTAATATCAAACTGCTACAAATAAACAAGAATGAGGAGCTACTACACAAAATCATTAACTAAACTTGTAAAAAGATTTTGCGAAGTGTAGACACTACAAAATTCACATAACTAAACGTGTTCTTGTCACCCTTTTTCAGATGAGAACTCTTTACAGAATAGGTCAACCTCTACAAAATAATTCCAACGTCAATAAGTAAAAGTTAGTCGGCTAATTGTTTATCATGTGTTTAATTTCGTGAAAGTTTTCTGTTTAAACCTTAACTAAATAAAATAAATATCGACTCATGTCAACCTTAAGAGGAAAGTGAAATGGAACACGTTACCGATTCCAGAATAGCATTTTTATGTTGTGGAAAACAAAAAATTGAAAAAATTCAAAAGTATAGCAACTAATAGTCGAACTGTTCAAAATTAAGTACTTCTAAATTCCACAACATGTAAGTGACCATTTAGGGGATGACTAGTGCTTTTGATAAATAATGGAGAACAAAAACAGTTGGTTGACATGGGTTGATAAGAAAAATGAGCCACAGATTTTGATTATATTTATTAAGACATTCTGTAGACTGACTTCAATAACATGAAATCAAAAACGTGTACTGATATCTAGCCACTTAGTGTAAAGCCACATGACGAACTTAGTCTAAAGAATCTGATCAACAGAGAGGGCCACTGACTGATTAGTGAAATCCTAGAATCCTTTGGGAGTAAAAAGATACCACGTAATGTCATGTCGAATAAATAAACTCGAAATAAAAAGCATTTTTTAAAAACTTTGATTTGGATGTGACAAGTCAACCACTGAAACGCTTATTTCTGCCTTTTAAGCCGCTTTCTATGATGGCTAACAACTTTAACAATACAACTGTGAGAGATTAGTTTATGTACAGGAAATCTGTTGGGGATGTTAGATCCCCAGAATACACTTGGCAAATACCTTATTTTTGTAATTTTATTTTGAGAAATTGAATTTCTTTGTTTTCGCGCCAAAAGCGCTCTTTTAACTTTCATGTCGTATTTCCCACTTGGGAGAATCTTAAATGCTATTGGTCCGTTGTATCTTTTAGTATGCTATTTTGTAACGCTTCCCAAGGACATTTTTATGCTGTATATATACGTTTGATTCGTGTCTGTTATCGGTCATGCTTCTGGTTGCTTAAGGAATATATTACCCCGTCCGAACTTCGACTTCTTTCTCTAGTTAGAGGGGCCGGGAAGCATCAGAATAGCTAGCTTATTGGTCTTTGGTCACAAAGTCTTTGTTCTGTTCGCAGACGAGGTGAACTCGTAATCGCTTCAAATATAGCAAAATCAAGAGTACCTACAGATTTATATATGGCCTTGGGACTCTAGAACCTTCTGAAAACATACTTAACGTGGTAATAATGCCAGTAAATATACAATTTAAGACGTGACACATGATTTTTTATTTCCTAGATGTTTCTGAGAAGTTTCTATTCAATGCCAATGAACAGAACACTGCTCGGCATCCAAAATAAAACTAATATATATGATATATGATATAACAGAAACAGAAACGAATCAATGACAAGTCGTGCGAAGGAAAACTATGGAAGTATCTATAAAAACGTATGTATTTATACCTATATAAATATGAATATACGTATGAGTGTATATGTGTATGGAAGTATTCAGAAATTTGCAGGGACGAATGAGAAAGACAATCCCAAGGTCAAAAATGTGCGTTAGCCATGGAAAGTTACGAACTGTCCAACTAATCAATATTTTGAATAAAACAATTCACTTAGTAGATTGTTAAAATAACTATCAGATAACAACGTCAAATCTATTTATCACATTATTGGAACATATGGAATGATGGACAATGTTAATGAAGCTGTATTACAAAAACACTTGTAAAACTTGTTATCAACATGTACAGAAACAAACTTATAGACGAGAAGCTTCAGCAAAGTCGGAAAAACTAACGGTATGCTGCATAAAAAATAACTTACCGGTCCTCGCCATCCATTTATTACTGACAGTAATACATTGATATCATACTCTTTAAATTTTCTAAGGATTGCACACCTTTCCTATTTATTTATTGTTAGAAAGAAAAACAAATAAAAGTTGGAAACTTATACTTTTTGAATGTAAAACATTTGAGACCTCACCTTATTTGATTGCTGTTTCAATTACCTAATTGTTTCGAATAAACACATTATACAATTAATTTTTTAAACACAGTTCATTTTATTAACTTGAGATCAATTAGAACAACGAACTAAGTACAATTTTATTCATGATTTTTGTCAATTGTTTTCACTGGTTGAAAGTAATTAGACTTCATGCGCTTACTGAGCCATCAGCTTACGCCCAATCTCTTTCAAATTCCTGCACATAAGCGTTTATTAACATACATAACAAAGTACCTTCACTTTTCCCAAAACGCCTTGTTACGGCCGAGGGTAGGAGAGTCAGCTCTTCCTCTCCAAATGCTCTCAAATGACCACGCGTAAACAGCCACTGCCAGGGAAGTCCTACTCACTACTTTCCCGTGTTGTTTACAAAATTAAGAGGACGAAAGGCGAATATCCAGTGTTTTTAACCACTTTAGTGGGTACGGAGGATTTACATAGCGGAGTTGGAAAACCCTGATTCCAAACTAATGATGCACATGGGTTACAGTATACTGAGGGGACAAATGGCGTATCAACCTATTGTTGGTTATCGGCTACCATGGTAATCCATCTCCTAACGTTGCTCCACTGCCTTGTGGATTAGACCTCTAGGTTAAAGGCTCGAAGAGTGGTCTTACAAAAAACCACCTACTTCAATTAGGGCGCTCGGACAATATTCCATGTACATTTTTGTTGGTGGGACATAGATTGGATTAAAGAATGCTCGACGCACAATTGATTTGGTGCACGCTGATCGGCTAATTCATATCCAATCAGCGCTGGTCGATACTTGGAGAACACTAGAAATCTTCTCATGTATAACTATAAATATACTAACGTTTTTCCTATTGTGCTTATTACTTCTATATAACCTTGTTATTTGGAATATAATCTCTTTCCTGTTCAACCGTGTTCTGATTTGGGGACTTGTCGAAAGAATTGGTATCCGAGAATAATAAGCAATAGGAATAGCTGGGTTGTAATAAGAGAGAATCATAACAATTTGGTACCTCCTTATACCAATATTTGTATAAAACCTTCACTCTGGACAGTTACCTGATGACGACATTATGTGACAATAATAGCTGAATATTTATTGTACATCGTATATTAGTTAACGAAGATTGGTAACGATTAAAATAAACACAAAATCGTCCATAGTTTCTTACCGAATAGGATTTGTTTAGAGATTTGTGAACATTATTTATTTAACCTCTTTCTTAAGACTGTCTTAATACTGGTGCTATTTAGGAATCCACAAATCTGTTATCTTGCAATGTACTAACTCAATGATTCAGTTTACTTTACCATTTGACAATGAATTTGAATTCACGTTACAAAAGTGCCATATAGATACGATATGTGAGCATGGATCATGTGAAATGTTTACAACAAAAACTGTCGCTCAAATATTTGTAGCTATAAAATCTTGATCACTAAACTTAGAAGTCTAAAATTAGTGAACTTATTCCTACCTGCCCATACACTTATTTGCCCTCAGGTAACTAAGTATAGCTCACATACTAACTTAACCTACGCGTGGGATTATTTGTCTTGGAACCAAATCAATGAGAACCTAATTAGTGGAGTTTGCTCAGTGGTCAGGACGTTCGACTTTCAGTTACTAAGTTGCAAGTTAAAACCTGTTTCATCTAATTCCGTTCGAGCAATCAGGTAGTATCACTAGCCCTCATAATTTAAATGTGTTAGTTAGTTAGTTAGTTATCAATGTATTGAACAAGGTTAATCAATCAAGTAATGATACGAAAATTTCAAAACTCACCGTTATTTCACTATAAACATTCATTGCACGAAGAATATCGGGTCGATCAACATGTGGCTCCTAAAGAAAAAGCGAGATAGCTTTACCAGTATTATCTTAAGTTTAGACTTCGCATTTATACAGTTAATTACATTGACAGTCTTAACTCACAATCCTCCTTTACGCTAAAACCAAAGAACTTGGAAGGAAGAACAAATCACGACCGCTAAGTTTATGATGTCCTAAACAGCATTATCGGAACTGGTAGCATTTCCCATAATATCTCAATCAGATTGAATGAAATGCACTTATATGGTTTACTGTATGATATGTTATGAACTTTCAAAAGTAATGTTTGGTTTAGAAGTGTCTTGACTATTCTAAGGGCTCTGCTAAATACTTCGATAAGTTACATTTAAACTACAGAACCACCATGAGAACAGTTCAATCAATTACTTATCCGATAAAAATGTAATTTATTTTTATTTATTTCAACACATAGATAATGGTACAAAGAGGCACCAAATACATATGCGCCACACAAATCTCATTCGATATGTGTGAGGGCTGTGATACTGACCGGGTGCCCAAACCGAACCAGGTGGTTTTCTTAGGGGGCCACACCCCGAGCCTTCGACCTGAAGGTCTGATCCACAAGGCAGTGGAGCATCGTAAGGAGATGCAGTCCCATGGAAGCCGGTGACCAACAATTGGTTCATACGCCATTTGTTCCCGCAGGATACTGGAGCCCATGTGCACCATTAGTTTGGAATCCGGTTAAAGCGCCGGACATTCGCTTTTCGTCCTCTCATTTTCGTAAACAACACCCCCGCCACGAGAAGGCAGTGAGTAGGACTTCCCTGGCAGAGGCTATATATGCGTGGCCGTGTGAGAGCATTTCGAGAGGGAGAGCGGACTCTCCCCACTCTCGGCCGTACCAGGACATTTGGGGGCATAAAAATGTAAAGTGAATTGGTTTCTTGCATTTTCTAGTTCACAAAATCTCAGAGACAGCATGTTACAGTGGCGGTATTACTCAATCACATAAGTCAGATTTATGGCCGAAATGTGTGCTAAGATGTATTCTTCTGAACTTCTAAAACCGTTCACAAAAATTACACATTTACACCTTCTCGGGTATATCAAAATATGATCAACATCATATAGAATGCATGTGACTAAGGTAAACGTAAATACTCGAATCCGTTTTCCATCACGCAGTTGCATAGTCAAAAACAATAGGCAGTTCTACTTTAATGAAGGTAATTACAAGGAAGTATTTAAAAAAAGAATATTCACTGAGGTAGTTCTTTTAGCATTTTTATGATAATGTCTTAATGCTTAAGATAAAAAACCAATTTCATGTACACAAACACAACATATAAATGTTACACACATATCCCATCATACTAAAACTCAGAAAAACTGCTCCCCTAATTGTCTCCACTGCCATTAAGAGAAAAGTTATGGTGTTGATTCAAAGGATCTTAAAAAACAATTAGCTGTTAATGTGAAACTGATTTTCTCGTCGACTCCTCTCCGACACTCAAGATTTCATGATAATAAAGATTAGGATTGCATAATGTAAACGACGTTGAAAGATATAAGAAAGTAGTTTCTCACAGATTGTTCGTTACTACGCAATGAAAGTTGGCCAGTTGTTAAGCAACAGACGACACGATTACATCATCTAGCACGGTTACGCGGTTGTCAACTACATTTTTATCAAATTTCAGTGAAGTAACAGATAGTAGTCAGCTGTAGGAAAGAGTTGACAAGCGATCGCTTACCGACATTAATTTTGATGTATACTAATATCTACAGACCCCGTTTTTGACGGAGCCATGTTATATGAAATAACTTAGAGAAGCACAAATAATAATGTTTGGTAGTACAGCCATACTACGAAATTACTTGAACTTTATAAGTTTAATCAACATACCTCTAAATAGCGTTCCATTTCTTTTAAAAGTAAAGGATAACGACCCAAACGTTCAAATATAAGAGTGAGTTGTTGCTTACAATGGACCAATTGTAATTTAATATTAAATGAACTCATATATTTTGTTACTTCTGTACTGTATCGAAAAAAATTGAACAAACAGGTATTTCAGTGAGAAGAGGAACGGACCTTAATTACATCAAAGACTTATCGAAAAAAGTACCTTATGTAACCGGCCTTAAGCTGTTATCCCTTGGGCTTTGCGGTCACGCTCTCAGTTATCTAAGATTTCTCTACTAACCTAGTTTTCCATTCGGATCCGTCAAGAAATATCCTTCCACGATGTGGGCAACAGGAAAGTCATAAGCGTCCCCATACTCGATACTCTGTTGTCCATGAGCGGACCTCTTTGTCACTTCATAATATTTTTTCTATCCCCAATACTAACTCTTGTCTTATAACTCTATCGTTATCTACACGTGCCACCAATAATAAAAATTCGAGTTCACGGAAATCTATTCCTGGTCTTCGAAAACAGAGCTCGAAACTATATGTTGAAGTTTTCATTGTTTGTTTCTCATGTCAATTTGGGCAATAGACTTCAGATGAAAATCGATGTTAGCGGAATATAGATTGTATTAAAGCACGTTCCGTGCATGATTACGTTGGAACAGGCTGGTTGACTATTTCTTATCCAATCAGCGCTAGTCGATACTTGAAATAGAATCTAGAATCTTCTTATGTCAAAATATAAATATACTAACACTTTTCTTATTGTGTTTCCTACTTCCATTTACCAATGTTATTTGGAATATAATTTCGTTCCTGTTCAACTGTGTTCTGATTTGGGGACTTGTCGAGTGAAGTAATGTCCAAGAATACTAAGCAATAGGAGTAGCTGGGTGGTAATAAGAGTAATCATAACACTAGTTTTGTGCTATCGAGTGGTTAATGCTGAGGCTAGATGAAGGATAACACGTAAAATTGATGAGGTATCTATTCCTCATCGACTGAAACGGTTGTGACTCGTTTTGCGTGGACGTAAATACCGCCTATCTCAATGCATACTGGTGGCTGGTGTAGGAGTAGGTGAGAAGAAAGCTAGAGAGAGACAAACCAAGATATGACATCAGTCCATAAGGTCACTGACAGTTGGACTAAGCCGTGTAGGCATTCAATAAACCAGTATTTTCTTCCTAAGTCACATCCTATGTTTCTAATCTTTCGTATTCATACTAATAATGTTACCACCAATAAACGAAATTAGCATCGACCTAATTGATACTAAGTTTTTAAAATTGAGTTCTCCACAGTTTGGATAGTTTGTTTGCAAAGATCTCGTTATTGTCCAGAACGCTAAAAGAAGGATTGGCAACTAACCCACTCAGCTGAGAGAGTCAACTTCACCAAAGCTACAAATCGTATACAATGTTAGTCATAGTGATATAACTGATTGTCTAAAATATACTTCTCACTCGGGTGTACTACGATAATGCGTTAATGTGACGATAACACTAGTCACGTTATATCAGATCAAGGATTCACGACCCATAATATAGAACCAGATACTTTATTCAATACAATTACAAGGGGCTACACTCAGTGAGTCCGGAGTAGAAGTCAATGAGAGGAAAGGAAATCAAATATTAAATAGCCAGTAGGCTGTGCCTCTTTGTCTCAACGACCAATCATATTTTACTAGCACTACCACACATTACAGTATAAAGTGGTCGCCGTCGCAGACAGGAAAAGTCCAGTCTTACGCAACTGTAAACTTCTCCACACAACCCGATAGAAAATGCCTTTTGGATTCGTTTCATACCTGGGTTCGACGACCTCGGTGATCTTAACACTCAGTACTTACGCAAATCATCATAGTACCTCGAGGTATACGGTCACTAACACATATGCTACGTTTCACAGAAAACCTTACCGGAATTTATTATCTCATTAAAAATAGTTTATCCTTCAACAAAAATTTTACATCTGGCCTTAACAAAGATCATTTGTCGGTAATACAGAATCAATCATATTGACTAAATACCTGGAGTTTTTATGTTGTCTACCCACAACCATGTCACATTGGGTAATGGTATGCATCATAGCAATCTAGTCTTCCCTTAATAGAACGAGTATTTAAATAGTGACTAAAAGTCTTAGAAACTTACAAGACTTGTAGGATGGAAAATTAATTTAAGTGATTAAGATAATAACTTACATATGTTCTTCTAATCCTGTTATAACATGTAAATAAATTTTTGAATAATCACACCCGATTGCGTTAATTGCTGGAGCAAAATCTAAAAATAGCCGACCCATACATTTCGGTCCATGTGTACTATTGGGAAAAAAATATCCATGAGTAATAAAAGATAAATACGTATTCAAAAGAACGACGAACAAACCTACCATTTCATTTCTGTTAAAGCCGAGGCCAAATGTTGATGTATACTAATGGTTTGAAATAATATGTCTCTTAAATTGACGAGTTTGTTCAAGAATGATCTACAAAAGAGAGGTGGTCGTATTAAGTACATGAGATTACAAGTGAAGTAGAGGCTCCAGGTTAATCATAAACACTGACAATAACTGAGATAGTTCACTAACTTGTCTTAATTCACCTTCTAAAACATGTTGTATAATCTTATGAAGATAGATCCGAATAAACAGGTAGATAATACATTCGATTTCTCACCTCGTTTTGAAAGTTTTGTAAGTGTATCAACGAACTTCCATCAGTAGTGGGATTACCCTTCTCATCTACAAGTAAATTTATTAGTGATAGAAAAATACCTGAACTGGTAGCATATGTTACATAGTTACTAGGAAACCAGCCAATGAATCCATTCAAACTACCTTCCCACCAACCACCTTCTAATTGTTTCAAAACTCTTAGTACGTCGCCTTTTTTAAATGAAAGCTATCAGCAAAATAAAAAGGATGGGTAAGATTAAAAGGAAATAAGATGAGGTTATAGCAAAAACATCTGAAATAATGAATGAATGGATAGAGTTTAGATTTTAACCATTCGACTTCCTGCCACTGGGTGGAAAGTTAGAAACTCGCTTCATTGACGTAATAACGTTTAGTAGTATTGTAATGAACGAGAACACAGGTGGGGACGATCAGTGCATTTTAATACAAAACTACCGAATCTCTTGGTAAAATATGAGAACCATACATTGAATACTTGATTTGCGAAATTCCAGCATTTGTCCTTCAAATTCTGTGTGGTTCTTCCAAGTCATAATATCTTCTCTATTTTCGTTTTTGTTTTCTTCAAGTCGACCCTCATAGCCTTCTGCTGCCATGCGTTACTCTTCTGATTGGTGTTACATACTACTTATATTTGTCGATATAAGTAGCATAAACTACAATATTTCTAGACCTCAAAATGTAGATATCAGTCATCATTTTACATAATAAACAATGAATAAATACATGTGTTAATGCTTAAAAGTAATTGACAATCACATTATTGATCAGTTGGTATGCAAAATGATGGAATTGGACAAAGTTAATAGCAACCTAGTAACTAGTGAGAAAAGATTTTACAAGACATGAATTACGAATATGGTCAGATTTAATTTCTTTGTACCCTATTTAAGCCCTTGTTTGTGTATTTTTATTCCAACGACAGATAGTTAACTGCCAAATAGGTGGACTGGGGAATATGTTCTAGTCCTATGGTTATAAAATTAACAGTGCTTATGTTAAACAATGGCATCAGTCCAATAGATTAATGTTTTGGTTTCAACAATGAAAGATATTCAGTATACTCCATAAGAGTATGGAAGACAAATGAAGTCAAGTGATTGTTGGTCTACCATGGTACTGCATATCCTAACGTTGCTGCACTGCCTTGTGTATTAGACCTTTAGGTCGAAGGCTCCGGATGAGGCCCCCTAAGATCACCAGCATCGGTTTTGGCACCCAGGCAATATTACAGCCCTCATACAAATCAAGTGAGTTGTATGGCGCATATGTATTCGGTGCCACTTTGTACCAATATGTGTTCAAATAAATAAATAAAAATAAACAATCACAGCAACAGTGGACCTAGCTACCACAGAATTTGGATTAGGATGCACTCATCGCTGATTTTAACCAGCCTATCTCTTCGTTGCTCACTAATCTTACTAGTAGTAGGAATGGGTGCATGTGATCTTCAGTGCTTAGTTAGAGACTCGCTTTTAGTGTTTGAGTCGTGGCCTCTGCAGCACACAGATTCATTGCCTGGTATCGTCCCTGGTTTTATTATAAGCTTGTGGTTAGCTATAGGGATTTTCGACTTATTATTAGTCCCTGAATTAAGACCTCTACTAACTGTACTTGTGGCTATAGTGTTAGTAGTAGTGGCAAAGCTAATACTGTGCATGTTACTAAATAGACTGAATTAGATGTAAGAAAATTTAAGGATGTACACGATGTAAGGTAGTAAAGAGAAAAGTAATAAAAATAAGTGAATATATGCTACACAATAATAGTATCTGAAAAACACTTAAAATTGCGATGTCACCACCTTTCGACGTTCTAATAAGTAACTTCGCGTAGGTTCAGTAACACCCCAAGTGAACAAACGTGTGTATGTTGCGGTTGCAGTTACTAGTCAGTCAGTCAGCTACAACGTAGGACTATGCACATATTACACACAAGTTGCCACCTCATTAGCACAAGATGAACACCAAATTCATAGTGGTCACTTAAGTGGTAGTAATATATAAGATTGAGTATAAGGACATAGTACAGGAAGAGAGATATAAAACAATTTTAATCTCACAGCTCAAGGGAAGACAGAGTGTATAAACCTACGCCATTGTGATCGATTCTGAGCCATATCACCCAGTCCCCAACTATTGATCACGATAGTCACGCGGTCCCCAACCAAGCGGTTTGCATCTACTAACATAGCTAGGACCAGAAGTTAGTAACTTCAAGCACTGATCCCACGTTTTGGTTTGGCCGACCTTAACTTTCTTCCAACTATCCCCAACACTGGTCAGCATTATGCGTCGTGGTAATCGGTGTTCAGGCATGCGTAACACGTAGTCCAACCATCTCAGTCGACGAACATTTACAACCTTGTCAATTGATTTACCATAAGTCCCTAATACCTTGCGTCTAACCTCACCATTACACAACCGGTGATCCCAGCAGATGCGAGCAGTATTTCCAAGACATCTGTGGTCGAATACTAGTAACTTGCGAATACCTTCTACCATGAATGACCACATTTCTCAGCCTTAAATCAGAACAGAACGAACTACCGCGCAGTATACTCGTCCCTTAATTGATAGACGGATATCTCGCCTTTGACAACGGGCACGTAAGTTGGTAAAAGCCAAACGAGGTTTCTGAATCCGCGCAGAGATTTCGTCAGACACCAACCCATTAGGGTTGATCAGACTTTTAAGATAAGTGGAGTTTTCGACACATCAGACTAGTTCACTCCCTATCCTTGGTTCAGGTGTTAAAGCAGGCCATTAATGAAGAAACAATTTGCATTTAGGGGGGAGCGCACTTCAAGCGCCTTGACATCGTTGCTCAGTGCCACCAAAAGACTCAGCATTTTATTAGCGTCTTCACCAAACTAGGCGTTAAAAAATCACCATAGAACTTTAAAGCCTAGCTCTCGAATGGTAAAAAAGCTGAGCAAAAATAAAACAACTAACCTCATCGGTATGTGACGGTTATAATCATATAAAGCACAAACCAGCAATTGCTTTTGTGACATTTATAAAGTAACATTGAGATGCCGACAAATTAAAAATAGGCTTCGTCTACAACCCGAAGTTTGGAAGACCATTATGTAGCGGATCGCATCAGGTCAGGAGGTATTTTGTGTACTAGTGGGGCATGCAGAGTGACGTCAGGAGGACTGGAAAGTAGAACAGACAAGGTGATTTGACGACCTGGAGAGTGCACAGAATTTGCTCACACTTATCACAGATAGCCAATATGTGACTTACCGTTCTTGCGTTGACCGCTACTGACCTACACTGCCTTCAATAACCAATGTAGACTTTCATAGTCAGTGTATGAATTTGAGATGATATTTCAGCATTATTTCGTTGTCACTACAATTTCTCCAGTTGAAATGATTTCATTTCTACTGATACTAGCTCGAGAGTTAGGTTACATCTCAAAACCACCTGATACAAAAGTAACAGTATTTCAGATAAAGATTTTGTGTTGTGAGGACAGAAGGCCTATAGCCTTTGCTATTCCTTGTCTAGTATGCTTCTGTGAGTGTCCAGTATTCTATTGAAAGAGTCAATTGAAGATGTGAACACCACAGTTTCGAGCAAAAGGTTCCAAGAATTGACGACTCAGTGTGAAAACCTGTATGCCACGGGTATTTTGTTTGTTTTTGGCTTTTCTACTCTCCTACTTCGTCCTCTGAGACGTGGGAAGAAAAATGGAAGATATGTAAGGTTCGAAATTATCTCTTGGTATTCTATACATCAAAATTAGATCACCTCCTAGTCTTTGATATGACTGAGTATGGTAAACCCCGGAGTTATGGAATTGCAGGAATAGCTGCCCTCTGTAAGTTTTCCAGGATATTTGAATCTTTCTTTAAACAGAAGCCTGCAGCCTGGATGCAGTTCTCAAGCCTAGTCCCCATTAAGGTTGTGTATACTGTATTGAACATGGTAGTATCTAACTTATTAAATGTCCGTCCTAAAGCTTAGAGGGTTCTTTTTGTAGCCCGTAGTTCTCGACTCCATTTAGAGCGTACGAATGTTTGTTATCGCCTATTCTCGTATATAATCGTCGACTTGAATCGCGTTAGTCAATAACGGAATTTAGATAAGGCAATTAACGAGAATGGCCTTTGAATACATATATTTTGTATGTAAAGTGAATGTAATAGAACAGAGCAAAATGACGCGCAGGGAGGATGGCTGAGAAGTCAACTCCATTTCAAGCCAGGCATTACTCAGTATTTATAGGCAGACAAAATAAACCAAAGACATGTGATGAGTCATGGGACATGAAGTGTACACACATATACGCTCATATAAAAACAGTCAAGGCTAATAAGTGAGTAATTAACAAGGTCAAAATATGACTCAAGTAGAATGAATAGAATGGAATGTCCGAAAACTAGAATAAGATATATTATGGGCTAAAACTAATGACTAACACTACATTCTAAACCCCTTAGCTGCGATCTTCCGGTAATGGGCCATGACTCACTGTCACCCAAAGATCCTTTTTAGACCGGACCCCATACTGTATTCATCTAACTTTGTATCCCCAAATTGCACGTAGGCACACTTGGGTGCGTTCGTAGACATTAGCTACCCTTCAGACTAGCGAATCAGAATATCTAAGTCTGCCTGAAATTCCCATGTGTCGGAGTCTCCTGTTATTCCTCGCCAGATGTTTTGCTTTATCAGAGTATAGTATCGTCGGAGACTAAACTATACTTAGAGTTCATTTATATACAGTGTAGAAAATAAATGACCTAGAACCGAGCATTGTGATATTCAACTAAGTCTCCGGGTGGAGCACTTCGAATTGACTCTTACTTTCTGTCTACGGCCCACGGAGAAATCCTTAATCCATTTTGGGAGAGGTCTGACAATGCCTTGATTTTCCAGCACCAAAAGCAGTCTATTTATTGTTACCTTATGAAATGCCTTGCTGAAGTCTATGCAAACAACATCCACTGGTTCCCCATTGTCTAAAGCCTCTATCTATTGCTCCCTTGTTATAAGGAGGTTTGGTGTGCAAGAAAAACTTTTTCTAAAACCAAGTTGTTCACTGTTTAAAGAGTTGTTGTTTTCCATGAATGTCATTATGGTCATTTTGACCATTTTTCCCACCATTCGAACTATGACACTGTTGAAGATGACTGGTCTGTAGTTTGATGGAAGTTGTCTTGGTCCTGTTCTATGTATCAGAGTGACAGTGGCATCCTTCTAGTCTGTAGGCAACACATCTTGGCTAAACGGCACACTGAATATCGCGATCAGTGGGGCTGCAATATATTGTGCAATTTCTCTAAGGATTTTGAGATGTAGTTCATCTGGTCCTACTGACTTTTCCATGTTTGTGTCGAGAGCCCTAAGTAAATCGTCTCGGTCAAAGTCCACGGTGAGCAGGTGGTTTGCTGACTGTGTATTTTGGTCTAGTTCTTTGTCTAGAAGAGGTTCCTGAGTGAAACTGCCCCAAAATAGTTACTCATAGCCTCTGCTTTATCTTGCTCTATCATTTCAGATTCACTTTCTTTAATTAGGTTTGGAATCCAACGATGCATCCTTGATCCGTAATTTCTGTGTGTAGCACACCATTAACTCTGTGGAGAACTTTCCCTTACCACCCAGAGTGGTATAGTGATATATACATTGTGTCATTGATCTCAGGAGTCATTCCTGAGTACCTCGTATCTTTTGACTAGCTTAGTATGGATATGTTTTTTATAGTTTTGCACACCAGCATTTCATCTACTTCTGGATGTGTAATGGGACTTGGGTAAGAATCCTGTACAATAACCTTATTTTTCCCTCTATGCTCCCTTGCTTTTCCTAAGCGGAAGCTCTGTGACTCATCTCGGACCGGTTGTTCTCCCTCCAGAGGAGTTTTCGAGAATAAGAGGCGCTATTCGAAATGCCCTATAGATGATATACTTTACTATTTTCCAATGATTGCTGAAAGTCAGTATTAACCTATCTTGTGACGATGGGGCATTTTGGTGAGACACACTCGTTCCCATGTAGTTTGGCCTACTGTAGCAAAGTGAGGCAGAATTACCCTTCCTCTGTGGTATCTCGTTTATAACCAAAATTAAAGTAATTATACATTGGTCACTACCCGTTTCTGACGTTCAACAATGGAATCCTTTGACTACATGCTGATCATTTGACAGTAAAGTAGAGTCTTAGTAATTTCTCGTCCTTCCAAACCCTTGAGGTTACTTAAACGTTTAGTCAGTCGTAAACTTTTAATGCGACGGTTGTGTAGTTTGATGATGAGAAAACTTTGACATTTGTAGGCTTTTTTATGTCATTTGACTTTTTTATTGTTCCACTTACTGAACGTAAAAAAACTCAAACACAAAACCTATGATTAATATGCTTCTCTTCCATTTAATTCTCTTTATAGCACCCCTTTACGTGGTATATATACATATATATATATATATATATAGAGAGAGAGAGAGAGAGAGACTCATTTATATAAGAAGAACAATACTCACCTACCTTGAAGGGACAACATATTGTTACTATCGGTCTTAAACAGTATGACCGAAATCAGGGCATCTGACATTTTTAGTGATAGAACGAAATGGCAATATTAACAATGTTGGTACATTTCTGTTACGAAGTTCTTTTAGCGAAATTGACAAAACTCAAGCGGCTGACTCTCGTCTCGTGAGCGGTTGCTTAGTTGCCCAATGACGAAGATGCAAAAAACCTTTGTGGCACGAATGAACGAACTGATTGTTCGAGGAGGTTTCAAGTTTAAAAAGTAGATAACGAACTCAATTCCGATAAGGGAAGTTTTTCTGCAATCCGATAGTATGGAAACGTTAGCTGATATGCCTTTGAATCAAGGATCCTTTCTCTGAGCCCTTGAGATTGAGTGGTACAGCATACAGGATGTTTTCAATCTTTGATTTGGATCATGAGGAAAACACTCTGGTCGGGAAAGGAGCAATGTCCACCGTTTTATCCATTTTCGATACACTAGACCTAATTGCTTTAATATATCTTCCTGCTAAGCAACTCTTACAGAACTTTTGTAAATCACTTTGGTTGAGACCAGTCTCTTAATGCTATGTTTTATCCTCGTGGATCGATTGAGTTACATTTGTTTTCCTATGTCTCGGAAACAAGCCGCAGTGTGGTGGCCTACTTGTGGAACATACGTAGGTGCAAACTCTACAGCGTTTTTCTCTATAGATAGACTGAGGTCGCACACATGAAGCTAGTAACTGTGTCTAGAGCCGGCATCAGTATTAAGTACCCGAGTTATTGAAGTTTTGAATAGAAATCTTTCACATATATTTGATAACATTAACTTTTGTACGTGTCCTATGATGTTTTTGTATTATATGAAAGATACAGAGAGCAGGTATCCCATCTTTCCAGGCAGTGTAAAACTGTCTGTGTTAGTTGTTTTAGGATGGCTGGGGCATCAGTTAATCCGAAAGGCATCTGAAATTTGCGAAGTCCATTTGATACGACAAACATATTTCTATGACAATGGGTTTTGTGGAGATTTTTAGAAGTTTCACTGGTTGAAATCATGAGTCAACTGAAGATAGACCACCATGGAAAACCTGGAAGCACTGGACGGCCGTTTCGCCCTAGTATGGGACACATCAGCATTGCACATCCACGATCCCGCAGCCCGCGAGATTCCAACCTAAGAACTATCAGTCTCGTGCCAGGCGCTTAACCAACTAGTCTACTGTCAGGGCAGGTACACGTAGTTTTTACAGGTATGATCTGCAAATTACAATATTAGATTGTTTACAGCATACTTTCCAAGTGGTGTCATTAAATGAATAAAATCAACAAAAGTAAATAACAGTACATTCGTGCAGATGTCCTGGAGTGTCATTGGTTAGGGTAATACTTTAGTATTATACTGAGTATGGCCTTTAAAATATTTTCCAATGTGGCATCGCGTCCACGTTACACACTAGATTCGAGCTCAACATAATTGGGTTAGAATTGTGGTCGTGCTAAGTATTTATGCAATACAACTTTTCAATTTAATAGTTGTGATAAAGTAGATTTGTAGAACGCTTGGTGTGGACTATGACCCTGAGGAAACACGTACGTCAAGTTTTTTCAGGCGTCAAAGGCTCCATACATGTGCCCTCAGAGCGAGATTCTGAAAAAAAAACAAAGCAAAGGAGCAGCAAGGCACTTGGATATGAACGCTTAACAATGCTTAACATTTTGTAGTGGAGTAGACAGAAGTATGATAAATTAATAGGTTACTCTCGTGCTCGTTCTTGTTCCAAGATCTAAATTCGAAAACCAGCAACAGCCTTCCATGGTATGAGAAGGGTGAATTTATGCGCAACGTTTCCATGTCAACCTAACGTATCGCCAGGTGCAACAACGGTCATGTCTGCGTTCATGTAATCATAGAATTTGTCATTTTATAATGTATTCTTTAATAAATAACTAGATTATGCTGTGAATTCTGCTCTGGTTGTAATTTTATGGCCAAAACAGCAAACATACACTATGCAATGGTAGCAGATTTCCGGCATTTCAATGTTAAGCTTGCTTTCGCTCACGACGTAATGAGTACATCCCCCCTTTTACTGCTTTATGGTACGTTTCCCGTTGCCCGACATTCACGACTTGACGGCTACCTTAAAAGGTACAACTGTCATTTCGAAAATCGACTTAGTTAAAGCTTATAACCAAATTTCAACGGCCACTGACGATATCCCAAAAACCGCAATCATTACTCCTTTCGGTCTTTATGAATTTTCGGGCATGCCTTCCGGCCTAAGAAATGCTGCTCAAACATTTTCAAAGGCTCATAGATGATGTTTTTGGAGGTCTCAACTTCGTATGTTGATGACTGCTCGGTAGCGAATCCGGACAGAGAATCCCATCTCCAGCATCTGGATCAATAAGCCAATCAATCTGTGATATGGATTGTCATCTTACGACCACCACTCAGACTCATGTTTCCAACCATCAAGCTCATAGCAGGACGGTTTTGCTGGCCTGGTATGAATAAAGACGTGAGGGAGTGGGCACGCTTCTGTGTAAGCCGCCAGAAATCTAAGGCTATAAGATACAAAAAATGTCCCTTGATCTCATTCACGACTGCCGATGCTCGTTTTGACCATGTTCATCTGAATTTGGTGGGACCCTTACTAGATTCAAATGGATATTCTTATCTTTTAACCTGCGTAGACAGTTTCACTCGGTGTCCGGAGGCAGTGCCTATCAAGCACATCACTGCTGAAACAGTGGCTCGCACCTACGTCGAACGATGGGTAGCGAACTTGGGCTGCCGTTCAACCATCACTACAGACCGCGGACGTCAGTTGGAATCAGAACTTTTCCGTCGTCTGACCACACTTTTAGGAATCACTCGCTTCCGAACGACGATGAGGATTACGAGGAACCATAATTTTCATTGTACATCATTTTTTTACTATAACGTACTTCATGGTCCCTTATAGTAAGGAGGACGAGCAGACGCTGCTAAGCATAGCGAGCTATCAGAAGAGGGTTAACCAACAACAAACTCGTTGGATTTAAACTTCTGTCTGGTCACGTCTAAGGGTCATCATTACTGTGGTGGACCAGACAAATATGAACGCAAAAAGTATAAATAAAGTTACTAAAGATAAATAGTAATATTAATATATACAGTTAATTGTTACAAATACAATAAAAATTGGGGACGTTACTTAAATTGCCCAAACGTTGCGTGTTCTGATCAGGTCCAGTAATGTAAATCCACAATTATAAATGTTTGATGACTCTGAGCAGGTTGGTGAACTCTCTAGCGATATAGTCCAACGTTGGATGTGATATATTCCGATTATAGTCTATAAATGTAGATAGTATTTGATTTAGACTTCCATTAACTCAATCACAAATGAAGATAGAACGAGGAATGCGTGAGTAGTAATGTATTTTGCTAACCAGCACTAATATGTCACGCTATGTAGTAGCTCAACGGAAAGTGTGTTCAAGGTCATTTACTAAAACAACATGTACAGTCATTTAATGATAAATGTACATACGGTGAAAAATTGACAAACAAATACAAATAATATTAAAAACTATTTACAAAATAAGCTTGTCAGTCATATCTCCACATAGCTCCCCCCAGAGTGTCCGGAGGTAACACTGGTTGTAATAACAATAAGAAAAATTTTATACAAAAAAAAATAATATTTACATTAATAACCAATTAACAATGTGGAGATGCGTATGACATGTACGTTAATAATATACAGTGTGTTATTGCGTGAAAATAGCGGTGATGTGGCATAGCATGACAAACAAAAGTAATGAGAATACCGTCTTTCAAAATTTTGGTTTGCTAACAATGATAATAATGTACAGAACTGTTACTGAACCCAAAAAAAAAGAACTGCTTTTTTTTTGTGTGTGTACAACAAATGAATAATTAAATAGAGTTTACTCGTTTATTATTGTAACAAATTTTTTTTATAAAAAAAATGTGACAAAACGAATAATTGTGGGGAAAAAAATATGGTTAATTATGTACACTAAAAAAAGGAAAAAAAAATTTGTTTTTTTTTTAATCGACGAAATGGACATAACGCTTGGGTTTGTTTATAGGTCTGCCGGAGCGTGTTAAACAAGAAGGCTTAGTATTAAGTTTTTTGTCCTCCACTGGTTTTTCAGTCACTGGTGAAAGGGGTTGATTGTCAACAGCGTTGTCTTTTCTTACTTGAGTAGATTCATAGAAAGCAGGTTTGATTCTGTCTATAGAAATAGTCTGCTTTTTGCCATCTATGCTGATGATGAAGTATTTTTGTGTGCGTTTAATTACTTTATATGGACCTTCGTATGGTTGTTTCAATGGTTTTTTAACCGCATCTACTCGGACGAAGACAAATTTACACGTTTCAAGGTTTTTATCAAGTTGGACTCGATTGTTGTGTTCTCTAGGTGGTATTGCTTTGATGTTCTGCATCATTTGTAGTAATCTGCTTACAAAGCGAGAAGGGTCTCCTGGCGTTGTGGGTTCATTCTTGACCAGTTGTCCTGGTAACGTTAATGTCGTGCCATAGACTAGTTCAGCGGCCGTGCATCCGATGTCTTCCTTCACTGACGAGCGAATCCCAAGGAGAACGAGCGGTAAAGCATCGCTCCATTTTGAAGGGTCCGGTTGTGCCATCAGAGAGCTTTTTAGTTGGCGATGGAATCTTTCAACCATGCCATTAGCTGCCGGATGATAAGCTGTCGTTTTAATATGATTTACTCCAAGAAGTTTAGTGAACTCGTTAAATAGAACGGATTGGAATTGGGGACCGCGATCTGTTGTGATTGTTGATGGTACGCCAAAGTTGGATATCCAGCGGTCGAGGAAAACTGAAGCCACTGTCTCTGCCGATGTGTCTTTAATGGGGCATGCTATGGCCCATCTTGTGAACCTATCTATTGCGGTGAGGATATGTGTGAAAGAGTTTGATGGTGGCAGAGGCCCAACTAAATCTAAATGCACGTGCTGGAAGCGTTTGTCAGGGATAGGGAACTTCCCACTTGGACTGTAGGTGTGTTTTTGTATCTTACTGCGCTGGCACTGGAGGCAGTTACGTGTCCATCGTTTAACATCCGAGTTGATTTTAGGCCACACAAAACGTTCGGTAATGAGCTTTGTTGTTGCTCTGATGCCTGGATGTGAAAGACCATGCAAATGCTGGAATATTTTTCGTCGGCAAGCATGTGGGACAAACGGACGATTGTTGCCTGTTGAAGTGTCGCACATGATGAATTCGTCTGAAAGGGGAATAGGTACAGGTTTGAGGTCTAAGCTAGACTTTTCTTTGCAGACTTTTAATTCTGCATCGTCTGCTTGTAATTTAGCCAAGGTTTCCAGGCTGATGTCATGATTGAGTACCATCGTATTGATATCCCTCCTAGATAGTGCGTCTGCAACAATGTTCGAGTGACCTTTGATAAACCTGATGTCTGTGGTAAATTGTGAGATATAATCAAGTTGTCTTGCTTCTCGTGGGGAGTGTTTGTCATACGATGTGCTAAAAGAATGGCAAAGGGGTTTATGATCTGTCATAATGATGAAATCACGACCCTGTAGCAAAAAGTTGAAATGTTTTACTGCTAAATACATAGCCAGAAGTTCGCGTCCGAAGGTGCTATAGCACTCTTGAGTTGGTGATAATCGTTTTGAAAAGAAAGCTATAGGAGTAATCTTGTCGTTAACGCATTGCTGTAATACTGCTCCTACTGCTTTTTGGGAGGCGTCAGTGCAGAGGATGAGGTTTGTTGTGGGATCGGTGTTTAGGTGCTGTAGCATGGTAGCATTAGATATCATCAACTTTGCTTTCTCGAATGCTGTTTTGGCGTCACGGGGTAGGTTGAATGTCTGAGTCTTCTCTCTCTTCGTACCTTTTTTGTCGGTTTTCAACAGATCGGTTAATGGCTGTAATACTTCAGCACAATGTGGTAAGAAACGGCGATAAAAATTACACATACCGAGGAAGCGTCGTAATGACTTAACCGAAGTTGGTTCGGGGTAGTTAGTAATATCCTCAACTTTCGTCTGAAGTGGTTTGATCCCTTGTGAGTCGATGTAATGTCCCAAAAACTCTAAGGCTGGGACTGCGAATATGCATTTCGAAGGATTGATGACGACACCATGTTTTTTAAAACGATCAAAAAGGATCTGGACATGTTGGATATGCTCTTCTAAAGATGAGCTTGCAATCAGAACATCGTCGATGTAGGCAAACACGAAATCAAGGCCTCTTGTTACGTTATCCATGAAGCGTTGGAATGTCTGCGCAGCGTTTTTTAATCCGAATGGCATCCTTAGAAACTCAAACAAACCAAAAGGTGTTATTATGGCTGTTTTCTCAATGTCTTCCGGTGCCATTGGAATTTGATGGTATGCGCGCACGAGGTCGAGTTTGGAGAAAATACATTTACCGTGTAGGTTTAATGAAAAATCGTGTATATGCGGAATCGGGTACTTGTCAGGAATGGTTTGATTGTTTAATCGTCGATAGTCACCACACGGACGCCAATCTTGGTCCTTCTTTGGTACCATGTGTAACGGCGAGGCCCAAGGGCTGTTGGATGGTCTGATAATACCAAGTTGCATCATATGTTCGAATTCTCTTTTAGCTACTTGCAACTTGCTTGGTGGTAGTCTCCTCGCCCTGGCGCTAATAGGTGGTCCGGTGGTAGTGATGTGATGTTGCACATGATGTGGATCGCATTCTTTTTGGTAGTCTATTTTCGTGATGCATTCGTATTCTGTCAGTATGTCGTTGAAAACGTTGTTCGCAGGCTTCATTATCCGTACACCATGGATTTCACAGTCGTTGGAAGGTGTACCTTCTACCTGTAAACGTGTATTTGCGTCGATTAATTTCTTCTTGGTCATATCTACTAACAAATTGTAGGCACTGAGGAAATCAGCTCCGAGAATGGGTCGTTTGACTTGAGCAACTATGAATACCCATGTGAATCTTCTGCGGAGCCCGAGATCTAATATAAGAGATTGCTCTCCGTAAGTTTTGATAACTGATTCGTTAGCCGCTACTAAGGACAATTTAGTGCTTGTCGTATGTTGTCTGCGTGAGAGATGAAGTGGGATGATGCTGATTTCTGCTCCAGTATCGACTAAGAAGTCTGAGCCAGAAATACGATCCCTGATGTGGAAGAGGCGGCTAACATGTTGGCCAGTAACAGCTGCCGCCATTACTGTCTGGCCACTTCGTTTCCCTGATGGTCTGGCTTGTTTGTCGTGAAGTTGCACGGTTTTGTGCAACGACGTGCTTTCTCACCATAATTCGAATGATACCAACAAATTCCGGCTGCCCGCTTAGGTGACCTAAGGCGATGTCTGGATACTGATCTCCTTCTGGACGTAGATCTGGGAGGTCGAGAACGGATGGTGGAAATAGTGGCCTGCAGTGATGCTAGCTGCTGTGTTAACTGTGTTATTTGTTGTTGGATGTTGAGTGCGTCGCTCATGTTTTCTCTACTTGAGGATGGTATCGCGTTAACGCCGCAACTATCGGGATATATTTCTATCATCTTATCGGCCATGTCTGCTAGATCATCAAGACTGACAGAGGCTCCTGATATGCTGAGGATTTGTCTGACGCTATGTGGTAACCTTTGTGACCACATCTGCTTAAGTAATGCTTCGTCTAACTTGTATGAGCCTGCTAGTTGTCTCATATGTCTAAGCAACTGTGAAGGTCTTTTGTCCCCTAACTCGCATGCGGTGAGTAGTTGCTGTAAGCGTTTTTCGTCAGACTGCGAAGTACGGTGGATTACTGCGGCTTTTATTTTGTCGTAGGGGTCCGTTTCTGGTACGTTATCTATCAGGTCTCCGACTTCTGCTGCCACTTCTATGGGTAATGCTCCAACGATGTATGCATATTTTGTCGCTTGCGAGCGTATACCTCTCGACAAAAATAATGCCTCAACCTGTGCAAACCAGATCCTGGGATTATTAACACCGTACGTTGGTAACCTTAACTCTGAGATAGCGTTGATCGAGTTTAAAACATTATCATCTGGCTGTGATGAATGGAAGGGGTTGGTTGACGGGCTATCAATATCGATAAGTTTATTAGGAGAGTTCATAATGTCAAAGACCAAAATGGTGTCGTGCCAATTAATAATAATAAAAAATTATGTAGATATATATATAGTAAATGTCTATAAAAAAAATCAGGGCTCACCAAATAATTGTGGTGGACCAGACAAATATGAACGCAAAAAGTATAAATAAAGTTACTAAAGATAAATAGTAATATTAATATATACAGTTAATTGTTACAAATACAATAAAAATTGGGGACGTTACTTAAATTGCCCAAACGTTGCGTGTTCTGATCAGGTCCAGTAATGTAAATCCACAATTATAAATGTTTGATGACTCTGAGCAGGTTGGTGAACTCTCTAGCGATATAGTCCAACGTTGGATGTGATATATTCCGATTATAGTCTATAAATGTAGATAGTATTTGATTTAGACTTCCATTAACTCAATCACAAATGAAGATAGAACGAGGAATGCGTGAGTAGTAATGTATTTTGCTAACCAGCACTAATATGTCACGCTATGTAGTAGCTCAACGGAAAGTGTGTTCAAGGTCATTTACTAAAACAACATGTACAGTCATTTAATGATAAATGTACATACGGTGAAAAATTGACAAACAAATACAAATAATATTAAAAACTATTTACAAAATAAGCTTGTCAGGTCTATCTCCACATTACTCCACTAGATGGAATGAGTGATCTTTAGAGGTAAATAAATCCCCAAAATAAATAGCTCTGTAAATTTTCGACATTTGGTGCTGACCACATTAGTTTTAGTGGACTCCGTGCTCAAAATCTACTGCAATCGCTAGCCAGATCAAATCAGACAATCCCCGATATATTGATAGCTTATCAAATATATCTTCGAACCACTTTGCCTCTGTCATTCGATTTCACTTAATGTGTACGATCAATATTAGAAAGTGTTACTAGTAAAAGCGTTGTCAGGCTCCGAAAACCTGAGGCGTCTTCAACTCCTTCCTTGAAGTGTAACTATTGGCGAAGACCCAAATACTTTACTCTATTCAGCACCAGTTCAGATAAGTCAAGTTATCCATTTCACTTTCTCAAGGTGATGATAGCTACTTTGAGAATTGTACAAGTTTGCAGAAAGAGTTTGTTTAAATATGTAGAGTATGCATTTCTATGGTGTTAAATTAGACCGAATATATGAACTTACTGCGCTACCAAATAATTTTACTGGTGCAGTTTTTGTTAATATTATATGATATGTTTGCCAATGCATGCTCTGAATTGTTTAGTCACGTTAATGTTAATCTTTCGGTTATATATGTGTAAGAACATTACAATATGTAATTAATTATTTCATCCCAGTGTTCAGGACCTATGTATACTTTTCTGTAGTTTGATTTTTTGCCTACTTCTGTCTAGCACGTTCGTTTTTCAAGCGGGATATATAAATCTTCTTTTGTCACAATTCAAAGATGCTATACTCGTTTCATTGTGCTATCTGATTTTGAGTATTTCTTTACATTGCTGGGGAGCGGTACGAAAGTTTGTAAATCTTACTCATTTCTAGACATCGAGATGGAACGATCCTGCTAAGATGCCATCTTCAGTCGGATACCAAATACTCTATGCTTTTCAGAGGACATGTAAGTATAAGGACTCATTTGAATCGCATACATATTTGTAAAATTGTACTCAAGAAAATGTCATTAAACTCTGGTATTCTGAGTTTACACTCACGTATAATGTTTCGATCTAGTACAACTATGAAGTTAAGTAACTTGGCGTTAATCAGGGGCATTTTTGGTTTTACCTGAAACATTACTTTAAATAGTATTTTTGTGGCAAAAAAAATAACCGAGATATTTTATCTGAAAATATCATGTCCGACTTCCAGTTTCTAACCAGTAAAGATTCTTGATTTTTGCAGTCACAGCTGAGAAACACAACTACTAGTACATCTGGCTGAAGAAAAGTTTGTCGGTTTGGTAAAAACCGGATGATGAAGAGACGTTATGTAATACCACACTTTAAAGCACAAATTGCTTATGAAGCATGAATATTCAGTTTCAGTTTCAGTTTTCAGTTTCAGTTTGGGAAGGACAGGAGGCTCGATGGCCTATGTTAGTCCTGGCAATGGTGGTCTCTCAGTTGATCCAACTTTCTTTTGAAAGAGTCGACGGATGGAGCCTCAACGACGTGCTGAGGTAGTGAATTCCACTCGTTGATGATTCGATGGGAAAGTCGATAGTCAGCTGACAAGTAATTTGTTCTCGGCTTATGAACTTTTTTGGAGTGTCCTCGTAAATTCTCTGTTTTGGAAGACAAGAAAAATGAGGGCATGTTAGGTGCAAATTTATCACTAAGCAATTTGTAGACTGTAATCAAGTCGCCTCTAGTTCTGCGATATGACAACGGGAAAAGGTTCAGCTTGGCCAGTCGAGATTCATACGGAAGCTTCGCTATTGCGGGAACCAGCTTAGTCGCCGTTCTCTGAACCTTTTCCAGAAGCTCACTGTCTTTTTTAAAGCAGGGGCTAGCCGCCTGTATGCAGTACTCAAGTTTAGGACGAACGAACACTGTATACAAAGTCAAAAACGTCTTAGTGTCGACATGACTAAAAGCCCTACGTATTGACCATAACGTTCTAAAACTTTTGGCGGCTATTGCACGGCAGTGTGCAGTAGTCTTTAAGTCTTGACTAACGATAACTCCTAAGTCATTATATGTCTGGACGACAGGTAGCTCAGTGTTATTCATCGTGTATGTATCTGTGCCTTGATGACCGATATGCATCACAACACACTTGGAAGTATTTATCGGCAACTGCCATGTTTGAGACCATTCAGATAACTTCTTCAGGTCATTTTGAAGTTCTAAGCTATCACTCTTACATCGTATCGTTCTCCATATCTTGACATCGTCAGCATATAGCAAGACCGATGATGATAGGAGACAAGGAAGGTCATTTACATACAAGAGGAATAGCACTGGCCCCAAAACTGTACCCTGGGGCACTCCGCTAAGCACAGTTTCCCAGCTAGATAACTTTGAGTTCACCCTTACTCTTTGTTGACGCCCAACTAAGAAGTCTTTTATCCACATCAATAAATTACCTCCAATCCCGATATGTCTTAACTTATATAACAGCCGGTTGTGCGGAACTTTATCAAAAGCTTTACTGAAATCAATGAAGGCGACGTCTACAGGTAGCTTTTGGTCCTTAAGAGCGCACCAGCTTTCACGAGCCACTAATAAGTTAGTGAGACAAGAATAACCTATTCTGAAGCCATGCTGCTTCTCCGAGAGGATCCGGTTTTTATCGAGATACTTAAACAGCTCCTTCCGAATAATCTTTTCTAAGATTTTAACAACCACACTAGTTAGGCTAACGGGGCGGTAGTTCTCAGGTTTGTGTTTCGTACCTGTTTTGAAGACAGGACTTACTATGGCGTTTTTCCAATCTTTCGGTAAGCGACCCTGCGTAACGGATAGGTTAAAGCATGTACTTAAAGGGTTCGCAACGAAGTTAGATAATTCCTTCAGTAGCCTAGGATGTAATTCATCGGGCCCCGTGGATTTACCTATGTCAAGCTTATTTAGCAGACCAAAGACATCGAGTTCTTTAATGGTCACGCTATCCAGTGTATGTATGGGGGGATCTGTATACGCTGACGAGAAGGGTGCTTCTATGGTATACACGTTGCTAAAGTAGTTCGAGAACGCTTGAGCCTTACCAAAGTCGTCCTCCACTAATGATGAAGCAGTACTGTCTCCCCATAGAGCAGGAATATTTCCTTTTCTCCTTGTCCTTTGGTTTATATAGGAATACAAGCGTTTAGGACATTCTATGGATTCCTTAACAAGTTTTTCTTCGTACAATTTTCTAGACTTACGGAGGGTCGAGGCACAAGTGTTCCGAGCCTTTCGATACTGAGATTTTGACTCATCAGTCCCCAGTAACCTAAATCTATCCCACGTTTTCCTTTTCTTACGGAGAAGGATACGGACCTCCCTACTGAACCATGGTGGTGAGTTTTTCGGCCCCTTTGGTATAGTCCAAGGGATGTGAGGTGTGGTAACTTTTAAGTATGATTTTCGAAATGCGTCCCAGGCCGTTTCAATGGAGGACTCTGGGTCTATTGTCCAATCTATTAACGATGCTGAGTGCATGATGTCTGGTATGTTTGCTTTCCAGACGTTGGGTCTGGACTGGACTGACGCGTCCTCATGACTGGCAGTTATATGGAAGTCGAAAGTTAAAACTGCGTGGTCACTTTTACCTAAGGGTGGCATATGGTGGAGGTTCGCAACATCATCCTCATAGTGAGTCAGTATAAGATCTAATAAGGATGATTCAGTGTCCGGGTCGTACCTAGTCGCTTCTTTCACATGTTGCACTAGGGCACATGTGATAACCGCATCAACTAGTTCCTGCTCGAAGGAATTTTCTGACGATTCAGTTCGCAGATTTTCCCAGTCTACCATAGGTGCATATTCATGACAGAAAAATGCACGCATTTAAGATTATCAAATATACTTAGTAATTTTCTAAAATACTACAAACACATAAGATATCATACAGTAATCCATATAATCATGGAATATATGAACCTATCTCGCTGAAAAATTTGTCCCTCAACGTTATGGTCTGTAGCCTGGTTCATTCAACAAAAATGCTCTTTGCACTTGAATGATCCAGTGGTGTAAAAATTAAATTATTATTATCAGCTTTATTCAATATTATATTTTTGGTACAATATAGAATTCTCAGCGTGAAGCATTTCAACAAGTTTCCGTTTCTTTCTTCTTGGTCGGTCCTGGCGATAAATATTGAGTGATCGCCAGTTAGATGTTAGCAGTTCAGTAAATGAACATCTGAATAATGTGCATTCTTTCCGTTGTATATTGCCAGCAACCACATTGTTTCTTATTGAGTTTTTTGTAACTTTGACAACGAAAGGTTGTACACTTCTCAGAAACGCAGCAGAATAGGTTATGCGATTAATAAACATAGTGATATATTAAAACAAACAAAAATAGATAACTTGTTGAAATATCTAGATGGCAGGAACAGGTAGCTCAGATGATCAAGCAGGCCGCCTGAAGTCCATCAAAAATGCCTGTAACTCGTGTTTACCTATTGGTGACCAGTCTGATCCAAATAGCGACTTTTGAACGCTGACCATAAAGCTGAATATATCCCTACCTTAGAAGACTGGTCAATGAATGTTGGGTTGTTTACCAAAGTTTATTGAGTATGATTAATACAAACCAATCATTACGCCGGACGAAAATGGTACATACGTCTTTCAGTCCGTCCTTATACATATTACATTTTTATTCTCTTTGTATTTGAGTACAAAATTCACTTGGTAAAGTTCTATCTGTTCTATAACCGTGGCATGGAAGCAGGACAGCTTAATTATTAAGAGGATGCGTCAAGATAGATATCTATCTTATAGTTTGACTTGGATATAAGAGTACTTAAGTAGGATAATCACAGCATTTCAATCCAGCTGTGATGTATGAAACCCATTATTCGAATTGAATGAGTAAATGGATCTATAGAAATGATAGTCCTAAAAATTACAATATTGTATTTAACTAAAAACAATGAAGGATTATCATTTCCGAATTCACATAAGCGTTTCATATCAAAAGTAAAGATAACTTTCATGTAATATGTTTTTAAAGAATTAGCAACTATTTGGATATTTTTTATAGCATGTTTATTTACTGACTAATGTCAAGTAACATTTGTACTTAATCTTAATTATCAAACCATTTTACATGGTGTGTTATAATGAGTAAACCAAATATGCACATAGATCCAAATAACTTTCCACGATAACCAAAATATTTTTATCCACTTTTACTGAATTTTGATTTTATTTGTGACAACATGAATATGTTGATAATCTCCAACTTTTCAAGCCCCTGTGTAATACAATGACCAAGAATTATTTAAACGAAAAATCTAATCATTTTAATTTACTTCATAAAGACCCTACTAACAGAATTATGTGTGTGACATGCATTTCTATATGTGATGTGAAATTGTTAGAAAATAAGTTATAATATTTATTTATCCAATTACGTGAGCACATCGGATATACCTTGAAAATGACATCTCTAACATAAAAATCATGTATCTAGGCTAAATTTGTTTTTGAACTTAACAACCTAGTTTCAAATACTATAGTGCATTAGATAAAAGCTGAGAATATCTGCGTTAAAATACTTGTATAAATTCTAGGTGACATAACTCGGATACGTCAAAGTGACAAAGTGTGTTACTATGGCTAATAGAAGGTTTACCGTCTCTCAACTACGTATTTTATTATAACTTCTATTCTAAATAATTTCTTTTTTCCAAGTACTTGAAAAACGGATAAATTGAATTGATTAACTTTATAGAGGCAAATTGTCTCTTTATTTTGTACAGCTGAGCTAACATGAATACATGTCTTGTTTGTTTTTACTAAATTTTAATTAAGGGTCAGTATTATACTACTTTTTTTACAAGAGAACAATTTATCGACTAGGAGATTCTAGATATTATGAAGACTGTGAATGGATAAAGAAACGAATCGAGAATAATTCTTGAAGATAAGAAAAATCATTATTTATATTTGAAAACTGCATGCTTCTGACTATCTTTGTGTAGCAAACAACATCTTAAATAAATGATTTCATGTGCAAATTAGTTTACCTAAAATTATCCAAAAGAATGTTAAAGATACTTTAGTTTTTAATTTAGCCCTTTTACTTGCCGGTTTCTCTCAATATTTTTTAACCTATTCATTGCTGTGTTAAAAACGACTAGGGTACAGTAAGGAAGTTTTCAAATAAAATTATGAGGCCTTGTTCCTTAACTTGATCAGGATGTAAATTAACAACGATATTAATCTCAGAAAATTCTCTTCAATGGTAATAATTTTCTTAGGGGGTTAGATGGATAATCAAGCTAAGACAAACCACTCACAACTCTGGTGTTTTTGCCTTAACAATTTTAGAACTCTTTTCGTGGAATCCGAATTGTACCGGAAACTGCCTACCAAAGTAGGGATGGAATATTAATACACGCCAAATTTACGGTTCCGAATGGAGTGTAGCGGATAAATGTACATCAACATAAGTGCCATAAGGAGGACTTACGACGATAATAGACAGGTACTAGTTCCAAGAACTATCTTTTCTCGACAGAACTTTCTACTCTACTTGGATTCTTACTCAAGCGAGGCCCGGTTGGGTTAGAATTAGGAACATTTATAAATAGCTAAATCTGAGACTAGAGTATACTACTTTAGACTCATGTTGAGAATAATGTCTTTAAGTTAAATATTTTGCTTCGCAGAGACCAAGTGAATTAATAACTGGACAACAAAGCATAACACGGGATAATAAACTAGCATAACCAGGGAAAGCTTTAATCTGACTGACTTTTTTAAAGAATTGGCTGTAAGTATCTGTAGTCAGTCATATGCACCGTGGAACCTCGTAAATATATGCGTGGGTTTGACATGCAAAAAATATCAACACGGTAGAGCGAAGTTATCGAGATAAATGTAGATAAGCCTCAAGTGTATTACAGAACCATTTGGGATCGAAAAAGTGATTTTAAAGTCAAAGTGTGTAAATCGATCTTGAACGAAGTTTTTCGAATCATATTAAATCAAGGTGTTAGCTGTGGGTCATATAATGATTACGTATAATAAGGAAAATATCATTTACTATTTAAAGGATGTAAGATTGCTAGGAAAGTACTCACATGTAGATGAGGAAATGGAATAGCTGTTTAAGATTAGGATTATGAATTGTGATATATATAATAGGCCTGAACATTGCTCTTGGTCTTGAACTTCAACGTTGAAGGACCTATAACCATATTATAAAAGTTCATTATTCACCTGAAAACAAAACCAGTAGAAGCAATAGCAGTGTTAGTGATGGTAAAAAAAATAGAAGTAACGAATATGATATGCGAAAAATGAATAAGTTTAAATAATAAAAGGCACGACGTAAATTTGAACGTTAGCGTCTACAGATAAATAAAAAGTAAATTTTTCTGACCTAAGTCACCTGGAGTTTTCAACTATAGGTCACATTAACCACGCGGGCACCAACCAGGTATATTGCACTTATTAGCATGGCTGTTTACAAGTCAAAGACTTCAGAGACTGATCACATGTTTTGGTTTGGTCGCCTTTGTCTTTCTTCCAACCTACTCCGATACCAGTCATCATCGTGCTTTGAAGTAGGCAGTGACTGAGCAAACACAATGTATGTCCTAACTGCTTCAGTAGATGAATGTTTACAATATTTACCTAGTACCTTTGTGATGTGAGCTACTTATATCCACATAAGTAGTACATAACGATGGTCAGACATAGAATGTATTTCAGTGGAAGATCGAGAGGAAAAGAACGGAAACAGCAAGCGATTGGTATGAAAACGCATGAACAATGAAATCTGAGACGATGAACTGATATTTGCAGAATTAATAGTTAAGTTTGAAACAATTGATTGATATTTTGCAGAATAACTATTTACTGTATGATTCTCAGATTTTAGTGAGATGTTCTGTAATTTTGTTTTTGTTCACCGCACCTTGAGTTCGATCTCAGAATTGCTAACTCAGCGGTCTCATCATACGCAACCAATGCTTTAACGACACTTGTAATTAAATGCTTGAACTCTGTGAATGTCACGAAATTTTAAAAATCATACTCATTAAAATAGAACGTGGCGAATTCCTATCAAGTATATCCACCATTCAGTTTGATAGAAAGACTTCTCACTTATGTCACAAGTGATAAAAATCGATAAAAGAGAACAAAACTATCCAGAGGCATTCAGATAATTCACCAAATACCAATCCGCCTAGGGTGATAAGAATCCAAAGATAAGTGAAGTGATCAGCGCACTCAAGTGCTTCGCTCTCGATAATCAATATAGACAATGAGTGACACAAGCAAGTTTCGATGCAAAATTTTTCATTTAGATGAAAAGGAATGCACTCCAAACATTCTTGCGTTGTTGCTCAAGGCGGTCAGAAGGTTCCGTTTACTGTCAGTATCTAAACTCCACCTCTAGCTCTTCTAGAGTTACTACCGGTTCCAAGCCCACACAAAGGAGGAGGGTTGGGCATGGGGTCGGCAACCTCATCTCGTAGGAAAAGATTTTGCTAAAAAACACCAACCAGATCAAATAAATCACACCATTTAAATTTTGTCCTGGTAGTTGAAAGAAGAATTTTGACGCCTCATGATAAAAACCAAAATTCTTCGAAAGTCACGAGGCTGATGCTCATTCTAACAACCAGAGTAACAGTTTCTATAGGTACATGGGACGTCCGGAGAATAAGGGAGACCGGGAGGATCAGTCTAATAGCTACGAAAATGAGGAGATGCAACATAAAAATACTCGAAACCAGCGAAACCCATTAAACCCAAGCTGGAGATCAAAGGCTAGCTACGGGAGAGATGCTGCTATACTCCGGTGACGAAGTGGAAAATACTCCACACATTCAGGGAGTCGCTCTAATGCTGTACAAAGTAGCACGAAATGCACTTGTAGGATGGGAATATCACGGATCCAGAATCATCCAAGCATCATTCAAAACAAAGAGGGAGGGGAACACAATGAGTGTTATCCAGTGTTATGCACCCATCAATGACAGCAACGACGACAATAATGAGCAGTTCTATGGGAGGCTGTAATCAATCATAGAGAAGTGCCCAAGAAAGCACCTCACCATTCTGATGGGAGATCTCAACGCCAAAGTCGGAATAGACAACACTGGATATGAAGATATTATGGGACAACATGGACTGGGAGAGAGAAATGATAATATAGAAAGATTCGCAAATCTGTGTGCATTCAACAACTGGCCGCACAATACACCTACACAAACGCATACACAAAGCCACATTGGTCTCACCAGACTACACTACAGAGAACCAAATAGATCATATTTGTATCAATAAGAAATTCCGAAGGACGATTGAAGATGTGAGACACAGCAGAGGAGCTGACATAGCTTCAGATAATCAACTGGTTGTGGTCAATATGAATCTGGAGAATCACTGGACAACTCGGGAAACAGCATTACAAAGGTTTAATACAGTCTTCCTTCGAGATACTAACAAACTCAACGTATTCAAGATAGCTCTCAACAACAGATTCCAAGCCTTACAGGATATATGTGATAATTTGGAGTATTTAAATTAAAGTACAAACTAAGAATCCCAGAAATAACGCCATTTAACCAAGAAGTATTAGATGTTCACGAACAAATGCATGCTATTTGGAATTCAAAATCAAGCAGTCAGCAAGCACAAAAGGAATAATTAGTTCATACTAACACCACAATCTACAGAAAGAAGAAACTGCTATGGAGAACAACTGAAAAGGTATCAAAGAAACAATGATGTCAACATGTCAGGAGGTTCTGGGCCGCAAGAAGCATCATCATAACAAATGGATTTCTATCGAAACCCTGGACAAGATTCAGGAAACGTAGAACAAGCAGACAGCAACTAACAACAGCCGGACACGAGCGCAAACTGCATACACAGAAGTGAAGAGGAGCATTAGAGTTGACAAGCAGAGATTCTTGGAGGACGTGACGACGACGGCATAAAAAATCTGCAAGAGAAGGAAATATGAAACAACCCTATGGTGGTATGAAGAGAAACTGGCAGGAAAGTATAGTAAACCAGATATAGCAGTCAAGAACAAACAAGACAAGCCAATCACTGAGATTCAGGAACAGCGGAACAGGTGGGTAGAACACTTTGAAGAACTCTTGAATAGGCCACCCTCATCAAACCCACCGGACATAGAAGCGGCGTACACAGATCCTCCTTTAGAGGTCACTACAGTAACGATCAGAGAAATCAGAATGTTCATCAGACAAATCAAGAGAGGGAAAGTAACAGGACCTGACAACATATTAGCTGAAGCACTGAGGCCAGACGTAAGTCACTGCAAAGATGCTCCACATTCTATTCAGGAAGGTTTGGGGGAAGAACAGGTGCCGACAGAATGGAGAGAAGGATACCTCGTCAACCTACCAATGAGAGGAAATCTGAGTAATTGTGAGAACTACAGAGGCATCACACTACTATCGGTACCAGGAAAAGCTTTCAACAGAGTGCTGCTGAACCGGATGAAAGACTTAGTTGACGCCAGAATTCCAGATCAACAGGTCGAATTCCGTAAGGATCAGTCGTGTATAGACCAAACTGAGACAATACGGATCATCCGTGAACAATCGATTGAATGAAACTTGTCACTATACATCAACTCCATTGACCATGAGAAAGCGTTTGACAGTGTGGACAGGAGAGCATTACGGAAACTTCTTCGACACCATGGAGTTCCTAAGAAGATTGCCAATATCATCCGAACTACAGTGCGAAGTTGTGCATGGAGGACAGCTAACAGACACATTGCAATTAAGGACTGGAGTAAGACAAGATTGCCTTATCTCACCTTTTCCCATTCTTCTGGTGGTTTAATGGATTGTGAAAACCCCTGCATCTCATAGGAAGCACGGAATACAATGAACAGCTTGCATGCAACTATACAATATGGACTTCGCAGATGACCCAACTCTTCTGTCCCATTACACACCAAAAAATTAGGTTAAGGTAGCCATTATAGCAGCAGCCTGTGCAGCAGTAAGTCTCAACATACACAAGGGAAAAGGCTGGATCCTCAAATACAACACGGAGAACACCAACCCAATCGCATCTGATGGCGAAACTCTGGAAGATGTGGAATCATT